GATTTACTCCCCAAATGGCTACAATGGCTGGGGCTGGGCCGGACCAAAGCCAGGAGCCAGGAGCTTCTTCCAGGGCTCTCACATGGGTGCAGGGCCCCAGGCACTCAAGCCATCCTCAGCTGCTTTCCCAGGCCACAAGCAGGGAGCAGTCAGGACTTGAAGCAGCACTCACACCTGGGTTGTCGGCATTGGCACCGCAGGCGGTGGCTTTACGTGCAGTACACCAGGCCTGGATCCTGCCAGCTCATTCATCATCTCTACCTCCACCCTTGGCTGATAGGCAGGCTGAGGGAGCTGAGGCCCAGGAGGAGGAGCTGCCCAGACGGGCTCCTCCTTGGGACTCAGTTTCTCCATCTGCCAATGGGGTGGGAAGCAACGTGTGCATCTGAGATGGTGGCAGTGGTCCCACATGGACGCTGGGGGTCTGCTTGGTGCCCGCACACGTGAGCCCCTGTGTACCCCCACCCGTCCAGGAGGCCCGTCTCCCTCACTGTCCCCCCACCTCTCGGCTGGGAAAGGGTCAGAAAGGCTCGCGTGGGTCCGCCCAACCTGGCCGGACAGTCCCAGCTGGGAGGACGTTGACCTTGGCCTGGGGGGATGGCGCTTGGTAGACACGTGGAACGTGCCAGCTGCTGGAGGTGCCTTTGAAGTTTCTTATTTTATCTTACGAATTCAGCCCACTCCGCTCTCTAGGCCATCTGCGGGATGTTTCTCATCTCAAACCTGTTTTAAATGACTCGCCCTTAAGTAACATGGATCCCGCCGCCGGCATGTGGGACCCAGAGCTGGCATGAACACTGCTTGCCCGGGCCCAGACAGGCGGCAGCAGTGGCACCCAGCCCCTGGGCCAGCAGGCTCCGGAGGAGGGGGAGGGGCTCCGGATCCCCAGGGGAGCCCTGGGAAGGCAGCCAGTGCAGTGGTCAGCAGCACCCCTCAACCCCCATGCAGAGCCCCAGGCAGCCTGCCCCTGCTCCCAGCTGCCCCAGGGGATGCTCAGGGCCCCTCTCACCTTTCCGTCCTCCTTCTCTGCCAGCTGGGCTACAGCAGGGCCCTCCCCACCCCTCCAGGCCTGCTGCCCCCTCCTCCTGTTGTCCCATGGGTCCCAAGGCCACCCTTTCTGGGTCAGGCTCCACCTGCCCGCCCACCGCCACTCTCTTCTCCCTTTTATTGCCTTCACAACCTCTGGCATCCACGGCAACTCTTGTTCAAGTTCATTCTTGCTCTGTGGTTTCTGGATCGTCTCCCCGCTGGAGGTGAGCTCGGTGCCCGCAGCACCACGTGGGCAGCCCAGGTGCATGAGCAGTGGAGGCAACATGTGGGGCATAGAGGCAGCGAGCCAAGCTATGCGGCAGGGGGTGCCGGGGAGCAGCCCCCGCAGCTGGCAGGCGCTCCAGGCAGGGATGTGTGGAGGATGCAACGTGGGGGGGTGGTGCCGGCCTCAATGTCACCCCGTGCCTGCTCTCCAGGGCCCCTCCCAGGCCCAGGGACCTGCTCAGCACTTTCCTCGGGTCACTGCGGCTTCTCTCTGGCGCCCCTCACCTAGCCCGCCCCCAGCAGGAGGACTTCCTTCCTCCCTGTCAGGGAGCAGCCATGGAGGCTGCTGCACCTGCCAAGGGGGCAGTGTAACCTAGGTGTCCCACTTCTGCCCTTGGGCCAGCCGCCCACACACCTCCTGCTCCGTCAGGGAGCCCGGCCCCCAGCCCTGGGGGGGGGGGGGGGCGGATCGCCTGCAAGGCTGCTGGAGGCCGGCCAGGGCGGCCAACCTGTAGGGGCTGCTCGGGAAGCTGGAGGGCACCTGTCGGCCTCTGCCCTGGGAGCCGCGGGAGGAGGGGAGCTGAGGTAGAGGGTGAGAATGTTGCCTGGTGAGGAGGGGCCAGCTCTGCAAGGGTGGATCTTAGGGTGGGGCAGCTGGTGGCAACATCATGGGCAAAGGCCCTGGGGCCGCAGGAACTGGCACACATGTGAGGGAGGGGAGCCTGAGGTGCACGGTGGGGGGAGGGGGCCGAGTCTTTGTTCTGGCAACAAAGGGGAGGTACTCTCTTTCCACATGGGGCCTGTCAGGAAGATTGTAACTAGCAAGCCAGGAATGACACAGGTTAGGAACACCAATGGGTGCACAGCAGGAGCTTCCAGGCCGGGTAAGGGGGCGTCCCTTCCTCCACCAATCACCGCGGCAAACTGCGCACAGGATGCTGTTGGCATGAAGACAAATGTTATAGTTTAAAAACATTTTCTTTGACCTCGAACTTCATTTCTTTTTTCTTTTTATGTTACAAAAAATTGACATTTTCCTGAGCTGCTGGAAGCATGCCGGGCCTGAGGCCATGCCTGCTGGGGCCCCTCAGTGTGTGCAGTGCCCGGGCTGTGTTGGGCTGGGTAAGGTGCTGTCGCCATGGGGGGCACTGTGATCTCAATGCCAGCCCACAGCAGGAGGGGTGCACAGTCGCCTCTGGCTGGCCCACTCTCACTCCCCACCCCCACCCAGCTCCCAGAGCCCCCTGGCTTTCCCCCACCCCAGGCACGGTCCTCCTGCCCCCACCCCATCCCCCACCAGGGCCTCTTCATTCTCTGGTCCTCTGGTGAAGCCATGTCCTGTTCCCACTGGTCTTCATTTCCAGGGCCCTGTACCAGGCTTCCCCTACCACGCCCAGCCACCTCCTCTGGGAAGCCTTCCAGGCGTGTAGACTGCATTAAGTCACATATCACTCTTCGGCTGTGGCAGCTCCCAAGGCCAGGCTCCTCGAGTGTCCATCTCCACATGCCTAGTGCCCACACAGCTGGCATACAGTTGGTGCTCTACTGAGCAAAGCCAAGGCCAGCTCCGCCCTGCGGTGATGGCTGCCAAGTGCTAGGACCTCAGTCTTGCTGAGCAGTGGGCCATCCACCAACCCCTGAGCAGTTTCAGCCCGAGGCCGGAGCAGCCAAGGCTAGGGACAGAGGAGGGGACCCAGTGTCCAGCCTCCTCTTGGAGGACCAAGGACTTGGCAGTAACAGCCATGATGGACTGAGGAGGAGGGCTACCCCAAGGTCACAGGAGCGGCACTGGGCTGGAAGCCGGATCATCAGGTGGCAAGGGACACCCAGCAGGGCTGGGCCGCTCCCCCCTCCTGCTGTGGGACTGACAGGCAGGCCTCTTGGAGGAGGCTGACCAGGACGCCCCCCCAGCCCTCAGGGCCCACACAGGTTTGGAATCTGTCCCCGCCTTGGAACACCTGACATGGCCCCTGAGTTAAGGCCAAGCCTGGGCAGTTCATAGCCCCCTCTTGAGCTCACAGACCACCCCACCCCCGGGTTCTCTGCAGTAAAGCCTGGGTCCCTGGGTTCCTGCAAGCAGGGGTCAGGGATGAGCCTACCCACTATGGAAGAGACCCCCCACACACCAGGCGTGCCTTCCTACAGGGCCTGGCCAACCCCTCAGAGTTCCAGCTGCCCCCTCAGGCCCCCCGGGGGTGTTGGCAGGGAGGGAGAGGGTGGGGTGACCTCCCCTCCTGACGGGCCCCAGGCGGGAGGTCAGCGCCCCTTCCGCCCTGTCGCGGCTGGCTGCCGACCCGCTTGGCGCAGCGCCTGCTTGGGTGCGAGCCAGCTCGTTTGCAGCCGCTGTTAATTAAGAGAGAGCAGTGTCGGGGGAGGTGGGCCCTGGGCCATGGAGTGCAGCGCCTGACAGCGCCAGGGCTTGCAGGTGCCCGCCCAGGGGGGTGACCTGAGACCCCCATCCATACTTGCTGTCCAGGACGGGCCTGTGGGGGACTTCCGACAGCCCGCACCCCTCATGCTGCCAGGGTGCTCTCTGCAGGGTCCTGGCCCACTGCATGCGCCCGCCTACTATGTGACAGACAGCAGGAGCTGGGACAGTCCCTGCGTGCTGAACGGACCCCCGCCAGTCCCGGTGGAGCCGCTTTGGGACCGCCCCCCACCCTTCTCAGGGCCTCATTTCCTTCCCTGTGACATGGGGACAGGCGCACCTCCTTGGGGGCCTTGCTGTGAGTCTGGTACAGGGCCCATAACAGACTCTCAAGTCAGGCCTGGCGAGCTGTCCTCACAGAGGCCACCACGGTGCCTGGGGCAGGGCCCCTCACCTGCTGGCACTCCTGGCTGCTGTGACCCCAGTCGCCCAGCCTGCCTTGCTCCCGCCCCCCAGCGGCCCCTAGCCCTGTTCCTGGAGCGCCCCGCCGCTCTGTGCCGCTCCATCTTAATTAGCTGCTCGTATTAATCTCCCCAGTAACGTGGCAACTCGCAGCCCAGGGTTTTCGGGCTATGGAATTAATTATTCCCCAAGCGAGGAGCTGTCAACTCCGGGAGACCGGCTGTTCGGAGCCGGCGACACCACTTAGCAGCGTGCGCACGGGTGCCTGTCGGGCGCAGGTCCTGCCCTGGGCGCCCCGAGCCTCCCCAGGACCCAGCAGGTGTTGTGGGTGAGGAGGCTCTGAAGGCTCACCTGGCGCCGGCGCACCTGGGCCGCACCTGCTCGCGCGCATGTGGCCATCCCGCGCCCTTCAGCCATGGGGGTGTCGTGGCTGCAGGCCTCGTGGGCGGGAGCTGGTCCCAGAAAGCGGGGCTATGAGCCCCAGCCCGCTCTGCCCCACGTTAGCCCAGTAGGAGACAGCCAGCTGGGAAGAGCAAGACGGGGGAGGTCACCCAGGCTTGTCCTGCAGCCAGAAGCTTCACCCCAGCTCTGGGAGGTGAGGTTGTTCTCATTTACACGTGAGAAAACAGGCACGTGGCCCGATTATCCACCCGTGGAACCCTAGTCCTGGAGCTCCCTAGGAGCGCCCAGCTGGTAGCAATGCCCTTCAAGCTGAGGCTCAGCCTGCCGCTGCCCCCGCCCCTAGCCTGGGCATCGTGTGCGGCCATTTCCCGGGGTGGGCCACCCCGGTTTTCCTCCTGTGGGCCCCTCTTCCACGCCCGCCCCCGCTCATGGCTCCGAGGGCTGGGGCCCCAGGCTCTGGCCCTGCACCCGCCTTCCCGGCAACCGGCTAACCCGCCTCTTTCTTCTCTTACAGCCAACAGCTCGCTGCTTGGAGGCGGAGGCGGTGAGTGGATCTTCCTGACTTCTGGTTTCGGGGTGCGGCCAGGGCACAGCCCTAACCCTCGGCGTTCCCTTGCCCCAACCCTGTTGGCTCTGGGCAGCTTACCCCTGTCTTCCTCTCCAACCCCGAGTGGGAGCAGGCCTGGCTCCCTCATCATACAGCCGCGGCCGGACAAGATGCAGGCCTCCTGGCCTGTCGTGGGATGAGTGTGCTGGCCCTGGGGGGGAGGGTCCTGAGACAGGGAGAAGGGCCCAGCCCGCCGCCCTGGGAGCCTGGAGAGCCCTGTGCTCCTGACCTTGTTGGTCACCACCAGGAGGCTGTGGAAGGCAAATCAGGGTGGGCCTGAGAACCTGGGCTTGAGGTGCAGGGGTGACCTGGAGGGCACCCCAGGGGCCCCTCAGTCCCGCCTTCCTGGTCACCCTGGGGCTGTAGCCTCCTTCCCACCCCTCATCCCCACCCCACTGGGGGGGACCCCCAGCCCCTTTGGCCAGCGGGCAGGGCAGCCACCGCTGTCTGTGCAGGAGGCTGGATGATTGGCGAGCCACAGGCCAGGGGTTAATGCGCCGTCGGATAAATCCCAGCGCCATGTTTACACCCGCGGCGGCGGGGCCCAGGCCAGGTTTTAAAAGGGGGAAGAATAAAAGGGGCAGCGGAGGTCGGGAATAACTAAGTGCTGTCGCCAGGCGGGCGGCGGGTGGCGGGAGGCGGGTGGGGCTGCTCCGGGCTGCGCTCGCCTCCCCGCACCGACCACCCCCAACTTCTCCTCTGGCTGTCCCCATGGAGGCGACCGAGGCCCAGAGCCAGGGGCTTTACTGGGAGCTGCAGGACGGACATGGTGACCCTCGGAGGTGGGCCTGTCCTAGGGGAGGGCTCAGAGGGGGAGGGGTTGGACACGTGCACAGGGTTGGGGGTGACCTGGTGCGTGCCAGGCCTCGAGCCCGCCCACTCCCTGCCCCTGGAGCAAGCACAGCAACCCTGTGACCCAGAGTTCTCTGGGAGGAGATGGCACCTGCAGCAGGACCCGAGACCTAGGTGGGAGTGTGAGGAGTGCAGGGTGCTGGGAATTGGGTCCCTGGGCACAATGCAGGCCCAGGAAGGAGCACCTATGGGCCCAGAGGGGTGGGCAGAGCCCAGCCAGCAGGTGGGGAGCAGGCGAAGACCACCAGAATGGCTGCAGCTTCGCTCCGCCCTTGGTCAGGATGGGGCAGGCTGAACAAGGTGCGGCCTTTTAAACTCCCACGGCAGCCTGTCACCCCTATTCTGAGCCAAGGCCAGGGTCCCCCTCAGACTCCCGGTCCAGCCCCCTGCCCGCATGCTGCCCTTGAACCTCACCAGTCTTCTCAGGGGTGCCTCCCTGCCCCCCGCCTGGGGGTGTCAGCAACGGTCTCTGTCATCCCCTGCTCGGAGCAGGGAGGACTGTGTCTACAGCACCCAGAAGGGCCTGGTGGAACAGGTGCTCAGGGAGGGGATGACGTCAGAGGGCAGGTAGCAAGGGGCAGCTTGTGGACCCCACTTTGGGAAGTCGAGAGGGGTACCTACCCTGGCCAAATCAAAGTGGAGGGCCCCCGGAGAGGGTGCCCGTGGCTCCCCCTGCAGCTTTGGGGGCGGGCCCTGCACGGGGCCTGACTGGCGAGCAGATGGATGGTGCGGCCGTGACCCTGGGAGGAAGTGGGCCCGGAGTCCAGGCTTTTAACGCCGACCGAGATTTATGGAGCCGCCGCGAGTGCTTGCCGGGGCTGTCACTCCGCTAATGTGATTGGAACAAGGTGGAGGTGGCGGGGAGTGGACGGCACAGGGCTGAGGCCGGAGGGGGTCTGGCACCACCCTGGCATGGGAGATGGCCCCGGACCTCCTCTGCGCCCCACAGCTGCCATGCAGGTGCTGCCACTACCCCCACTTCCCTCCCGAGTCCCTGCTGGTCTGGCCCTAAGGTGCTTTCACCTGTTGCAGGGGAGCAGGGCTGGGCCTCCACCTGAGCTCACCCAGATATCCCCTGCCCTGCCCCCGGGTCTCTGCAGGCTCCTGCTGCAAAGATTCAGGCTGCCACCCTGCCCCAGCCCACCCTGTGCATGGGGCACACTGTATCCCGTGCTGCCCACCATCCCGCTCCAGTCGCCTGCTTGGCCCCCCACTGCTCCACAGCCCCTGCTCCCCTCCCCCCCGCAGCCCCTGCTGCCCTCCCCCCCGCAGCCCCTGCTGCCCTCCCCCCCAGCAGCCCCTGCTGCCCTCCCCCCCGCAGCCCCTACTGCCCTCCCCCCAGCAGCCCCTGCTGCCTGGCCACTCCTGGGCCAGCGTTCAGAGGTTACTTAGCTGTCCTCCTAGGGGCCAGCCTGGGTGGGGAGCCCCTGTTTTAGAGGAGTGGGAGACTCAGCACTGAGAGCAGAGGAACCCTGGCCTGGGGGAGAGTTCCTAGGGCCTCCCCTGGGGGGTACTGCCCCTTGGGCCCCTCTCAGGCCTCAGGCCAGGCTTGGGTGTGTTGGCTGCTCCCTTGGGGGGTTGCTGTCCAAGCTGGGGGAGGGGCCAGGTACTCAGGATTTGACTCTGTCCTGGAGGACACCCAGCTGGGCGGGGAGCTCTCTGCAGAGTCAGGGGACTGGGCCTGCCTGGGCTCTGAAGGCTGTATAGGAGTTCAGCAGGTGGAGCAGCACAAGATGGCCCCCACCTCCCAGAAGGCAGCTCAGGGCACCACTGGGTATCCCAGTCACTGTTGTGAGGTGAGTAGGAGGGCGGTGAGTCTTAAATCAGGCGGGGAGTGGCAGCCCGCAGCCGGGGACTGCGCTGTTTACTTGGCCACAAAGCGCACAGCTTTCCGGGGAGATCTGTGCGCTCCTTTTCAATTACCCTTGTCTTTCTCTGCCACTTTCGCACTAAAGGGATAATAAATGTATCGGAGCGTTTCAATTATTCATCTACATCATGACCGTGCCTGCCACGGCCCAGCTCCAGTGACAGACTCCTTCAGGGCCGCCATCTCTGCTCCCGCGGCGGTGGATAAGAGTGCAGGGTGGAGCTCACCCCACCACACACACCCCTCAGGGCCAGCACCCCTCCTGCCAAGCCTGCAGGAGCCCCCCACCTACAGCCCCTGAGTTAGGGCCGGCGTTGCCTCCTGAGTCGGTGCTGGTGGTGCGCACACTGCATGCCCCAGGTACCCCTACACAGAATCCCTTCCGCCAGGCCCGGGCCTGCCCACCATGGGTCCCTTACTGCTGCAGAACTGGCCTGTCCCCTCCTCACCCAAGACCCAGCCCCATGGCCCTGGAGCTACCAGGGCTGTCCCTGGCCGTCACCCCACTCCTGCCTGCTGGTCTGCTGGCACAGCGGGGTCACTGCTGTCCCTCCAGTGAGCCAGGCAGGATCTATCTTCCATTGCCACCTCTGCTAATCCCCGATTACTTCCGTGGCCGCCAGGACAGGGATTGCCTCTGGCTGCCCCGATTAGCCGTGGCCAGGCTCCGCTGGGGAGAGCACATCGTGGCCGCCAGGGTCGTCTGCAGGCGAGGCTGTAGCCTCCCTGGCCAGGCCCTGGGGGCTCGGGAGCCATACTCCCCAGACGTGTCCCTGAGCCAGTCTGGGGTGAGGGCCGTGGGAGTGGCAGGGTAGAAGTGGGAAGGCAGGGCCACATTGGGGCGCAGGGGTAGGGGACAGCAGAGGCCCCGAGGTGTGCTCAGAGCATGTCCCTCCTCCCACACCCCAAGGGATGGCAGAGTTTTTGTTGCTGGCTGCTGCCAGGCCGGCAGGTGCAGTCTCCCCTCCTCATGCATCCCCCCAGCCCCGTCCCTGCCTGCCCCGTGCACATGCTAAGCTCCCTGCTGGGACCTGGGCCCCTCCCCTCCACGTCATCATCAACCCCACTAGCACCTCCTCTAGGGTGGGCCCTGAACGGGGTGTGGTTTGCAGCAGGGAGAGGTGGGCCTCGGGTGGGGCTGGCCGGCTCTGGGTGCTGGCTTCACCTCAGGGGAGTGCCAGGTGTTTCCCAAGGAAGGGGGCCTGGCCGTGCTGCCCCGCCCCCCCTCCCCACGCTGGCCTTCTCTGGATGACGGGACAGAGGCACTGGCTGTGACCCACACGTGGGCTGGGCAGGCAAGATGGCGGTGCAGCCGCGCACGGCCGCCACGAGGCCCTCACGCTGCCAGCAATTTCCACATGACAAACGAGGTGCCGCTGCTGTGTACATAATGAAGCCTTGATGTTTTCACATCCCTGCGGACGGCCGCTGAGCTCACCCCGTAATGAATTTCGGATCACATCGTGGAGCTGTCGCCCATCCATCTCCTCCCCCTGGGGCATCCGCCCGACTGCCTGTCTGTCTTGGCACCCACCAGACTGGGCGCCGCATCCCTACCGGCCCCAGCCTAGTCCAAATCCAGTGCTGAGCCCAGGGTGGGGCAGGTTTGTCAACTGAACAAGTGACATAGTGGACAGAGGCTCCTCTGAGAATGAGCCACAGGCGTGCAGCTCTGGCCTAAGGGGGCACCTAATTCAAAGCTGGATCGGGGGTACAGTGGGAAAGGGGAGAGTGCAGAGCCCTGGGAATGTCATTGACCCAGCCTGGTGCCCTACTTTGGTTCTATCTCATGGGCCCTGGCACTTGCTTGGGAGGGGCACAGGACTGGTGGGCAGGGCAGCCAGATGGCACCCAGCTCCTGCCTCCAGCTCTCTGCCTGGCCTGGGAGGCCCCTGGCTTGCACCATCTGTAGAAGGGGGTAGCCATAGCATGAGGTATGGGCAGCTGGCTCAGCGTATGCCCAACTTGGCAGTCCCAGCCTGCTTACCCCCCAAGGTGCCAGGCTGAGCGAGGGGGTCTCTCACTCTGGGGTGGCACACCAGGGGATGTGTTGGGGCTTATGACTGTGCAGGCCCAGGCCAGGCCTTATCGCCCCTGCTGAACTGTGCAACCCTGAGGAAGCGGCTTTGTGCCCCTGTGCTGGGGGTGGGGCAGCAAGGGGCATGTGTGCGTCTTGGTCTTGGCCCTTCCTCTGGGACAGGCTCAGTCCCCATGCTGCTCCACACCATGCTCCCTGCCATGTCTGCGTCCCAGGGGCTCGGCTCAGGTGAAGCCACTGGCTCCGACCTCCGTCTGCAGTCAGCTGGCCAGGATTTCCAGGGACACCCAGGGCAGTGGAGGGGTGTCCTGCCCCTCCCAATCCCAGGGCTCCCATCAATAATTAACAAGGCCCCTGCTTGCTTGCTTGTTTGTTTAGTGTGAGGAATGCTTCCCCACTGAGGCACATTTATTGCTGAATAAATTTAAATATCTAATCTTCCCTTCATGAATATTACAGTACCCTAAATAGCAGTCAGCACCACCCTCAGCCCCCCACCTCCTTGGGCCAGTTCCTGGGATAGCCTGGCCAGGCCCACCCTAGCAGTCGCCCCTCCAAGGGGCCAGCACAGGGCAAGGCAGGGGTACCTCACGGCCAGGGCAGCTTCTACCAGCAATGGAGGGACGAGTGCCAGTGAGAGCCAGGGTGCCCTGTGGCTGGCCCCATGTGGAGAGGAGGGGTACAGGAGCACAGAGCTGTGGGCGCGGGGAGGCAGGGATGGGACTCCGGACTGGCCCACCACCAAATACCCTGGGCCAGCTGCCCTCTTCCATAAAGCAGGAGGCGGTGAGGGATCCGTGTGTCCTGAAGGGGCTGGAGCAAGGAGGCGGCCAGTGGCAAGTGGATGGGGGTACCCCAGGGCTCAGTTTAGCCCAGGGTAAGCAGACAGAGCAGGACCTGGAGGTGGCTGAGCAGGGTTGTATGTGGGCCTGTGCCTGAGATCTGCAGGGCTGGGGCAAGGAACACAGGACGGCCAGCACTGCCTGCAGGGGTGTGGGTGATGGCCTGCAGCACTGGGAAGGGCTGTGCCCCAGCCACCGCCCCCTCATGCCCCAGGTCAGCCCTGCAGGCCTGGCTGCCTGGCTGTAATCCTTCACCAGAAGCATTTTGTCCCTGAAGTGTGGCCACTCACTGGCTTACCGGCTCACCGCAGGGCCTCCTGGCCGGCCAGGGACTGTCCCGTCCAGCAGGACAGTCAACGGGGGTCGCAACCACCTAGGAGAGATTGGGGGACAAGAGACACGAAGAATGGACAGCAAGACAGGATGTCTGATCAAGCTGTCAGTTTATTGATTTTAATTGAGGGTTTTTATACTCTTTAGTAACTAAGGCTCAGGGAGGAAAGGAGAAACTAGGACGCAAGCCATGGTCTCCAGACCGATTGTTCTTGAGCAGTCACCATATCCACAATAGTAACCAACATATCAACAATAGCATAGGTAATCAGTAACAAGATGTCGGCAGGTACAGCATAAATCATATTCTAAAACAGTTGCTACAAACAATTGAAGCTAAGCGTGTGATTAGTTTCATAACTTCTTTCTCAAGCATCTAGCCAGCCAGGGATTTTCCACTGGCCCATAGTTCTATATTCAAAATGGCTTCAGTGTGGCTATAGTACACGGCTCCTGACAAGGGACCCCCGGGGCAGACAGTAGGTGGACCTCCTGCACACACGCCTACCTCCTCTATTCCTGTCCCATGGACACATGCCCTGAGCTGCCCACAGAGACCTCTGTCACCTCTGCACAGGCCCAGCCCTGGTGTCCTCCCAGCAGGCCCGTGACACGGGACCGTCGCCTTATGTGACGAAGGGACACCAAGGCCCAGAGCAAGCAAGCGAGGCCACCGTGGGCTGCATGTCTGTGGCCAGCCCTGCTGTGGCTCCAGTGCTTCCCAGCAGAGCGGGAACCCCGGACGGTACACCCACTCTGCCACAGGGGGAGCCCAGTCCTGACTGCTCCCACCCGCCAAGCCCTGTCCTCAAATTCCCACACTCCTCTGCCCATCCCCAGTCCCGTGCCAGCTACAAACTCCCTGGGGAACAAAACAAGGGTACAAGTTGGCAGTGATGGGAGGCATGTGCCAACGTGCCTGAACCTGTGCCCTGACATGGAGGCCAGAGTTTGGAGGTGACAGGCACACAAGGCCAAAGCCCGTACACCTGCTGATTTGAGGAGCCGATGGTCCTTGGCTTTTCAGCCAAGCTCTCTGGCACAGGCCTGGGGGGCATCACTACTGCCAAAGATGGGGCAATGGCCCCTGCTCGCCTGCCCCTGCCCCTGGTGCCAACTGAGACTTTAACAAAGTCTTGGAGCCATGAGGAGTTAAGCACAGTCTTGCACGGAGCCTGCCTGGGGTGACCCCCGCCACAGGAGCATCGCCCCACACCTCCGGCCCCGCCCCGTGGGCCTCAGGGCTCCTCCCAAGGCCCCCAGCCGCCCGCCCTCCTCATGGGATAAACAAGCCAAGGCCAGGCCCAATTAGAGATGCTGTAACCAGGGGCTCATTAACCATCAGGGATTTGAGCTCCCAGAGCCACCTGCGCAGCCCAGGCCCCGTCCCCTGATGGGACCTGCCACTGTCTAGGTGTTCCTGACAACAGGTCCTGGGCTGTGCCCGCCTCCCACCTGTCGCAACAGTCCCACCTGCCTCCCTGGCTGGCCCAAAGAGCAGGGCGGGCCAGGAGCGCCCCCTGCCGGCCGCCCCGCGCTGCTTCCCACCAGGCCTGGGCGGGCTGGACAGGGGAAAGGCGGGCGCCCCTCTCCCGGGCCTGCTCGGGGGAGGGGCTTACACTGCTCCCATGTAAAGCAGGGAGCCCCGGAGTTCAGGAGCGCCTCCCCATGCCATCCTTCCTCCCCCTGCAGTGGACGGGTGCATCCACCGGGCCGCCGGGCCCCTGCTCACTGACGAGTGCCGGACCCTGCAGAGCTGCGACACCGGCCAGGCCAAGATCACCTGCGGCTACCGGCTGCCGGCCAAGCGTGAGTCTCCCCTGGCGTGCGGGGACACTGGGCGCCTGCGTGCGGCGGGGCCAGAGGGCTTAACCTCGCTGCTCCTTGGCACGGAGAGCAGGCGGGGCAAGGACAGGCCAGGAAGGTCACAGTCCCGGCTCCGCCGCGTCCACACGGAGCAGCCGTGCCCTGGGTGGACGTTAGCTCGGTGGGGAAGGCGGCCCCGGCCGGCAGGGCGCGGAAGCGAGCGGGGCCAGGCCTGACCCTGTCGCCCCGCAGACGTCATCCACACCGTGGGGCCCATCGTGCAGGGCCAGCCCAGCGCCGGCCAGGCGGCCGAGCTCCGCAGCTGCTACCTGAGCAGCCTGGCGCTGCTGCTGGAGCACCGGCTGCGCTCGGCGGTGAGCGGGGCCCGGGCAGGGACGGGAGGGGGGCAGGCCGAGCCGTGGGACCCTGACCCCCTCTCCGCTGCCCTGCCCCGTCCAGGCGTTCCCCTGCATCTCCACGGGCGTGTTCGGTGAGTGGGGTCCAGAACAAGCGCGGAGGCAGGGGTGGGGTGGGGAGGGCCGAGCCGCTCACAGCCGCCTGCCCCCCACCCCAGGCTACCCCAGTGAGGCCGCGGCTGAGGTGGTGCTGGCAGCACTGCGCGAGTGGCTGGAGCAGCACAAAGACAAGGTGGGGTCCCCGAGGACTTGGGGCCCCGTCCTCCTGGGGGCTGTCTCTTATGAGAAGGGTGTAGTGTGAGCTGCAAACCTGGGGCGGGGGCACCCCCAGGGCAAGGCGGGTGCAAATCCCCGGCCCCGTGGCTGACACAGGTGGACCGGCTCATCATCTGCGTGTTCCTGGAGAAGGATGAGGCCATCTACCGCCGGCGGCTCCCGCACTTTTTCCCCGTGGGTAGGTGCCCCCTCCACGAACCACGCTGTGCCCCCCCAAGCCCTGGCCCCTCCCCGGCACTCACTGACCTCTGCCTTCCAGCCTGAGGCTCCCGCACTCCCCAGACCAGGAGCGGTAAGCAGGGCTTGGCCGGGCTGGCTGCCCTGGACTAACCCCAGCCCACTAACACACCTGCTCAGCCCCGCCCCCAGGGGAAGGGAAATGGGGTCCCCTGGTGTGCGATGGGGGAGCCGCAGCTCCCTGCCCTCTGCTCTGCCCTCAGACGCTCCTGGGCCTGCAGGACCCGGCTCCCGGCTCTGAGGGCCCTGAAAACCTCCGGCTGGCCCCGGGCCTGCTCCTGCAGCATCCTGCTTCCCCAGCACCCAGTCCCACCGAAGCCTGCTAATAAAGACAGCCGCACAGCCAGCCCCCGCTGTGTGCACTCGCTCTGTCTGGAGCCCGGGAATGTGCAGCTGCGGGCTTCGGGCTGCCCGCAAAGACTCCCCCTTTCCTGAGGCTCCTCAGGGAGCACATGCCCCGGGCCCACCCCACACGTGGAGGGTGGAGGGGAAGGCAGCCAATGCAGATGGCAGTATGGCTCAAAGGGGTACATAGCAGGCACAGAGAAGGGGCAAGGGTTGAGGGGGTGGCAAGCTCCACTTCACCTGAAGGCTGTCCCTCCCTCACCACTTTGGGGCACAGTGCGCACCCCAGCTCCTACACCTGTCCAGAGCCAGGCCCCATCCGCCTAGGACTCCAACCAACTCACCCCTGGAGAGCAGGAAGCCAGGCCTGGGTCCTGGTCAGGAGAGCAGGGTGGGGGCACTCCAGGGCACCGGCAAGGCACCCAGGAATTACAACTCCAAAGAGCCAGGAGGGGGCTCCCCAAGAGGCCTGCCCCCCCCAGTGCTCCTGCTGGGGCAGGTGCCAGGCAGACCCGCCCGTGGCAGGGACACGCGGACACGCACACATGCAGCTCACCACCAGCATCCCCTTTAATAAAATGTGGGAGGTTGTGACAGGAAGTGGGGGTGAGGGCAGAGTGAAATATGACCATTTACAACCACAAAAAGCCCCTTTGTCCACGCCGGGCACCGGGCGGGCGGGCGGGCCGGGGGCGCTGCCAGCGGGCCGGGCCTACTTGTAGAGGATGTCGTAGTGTCCCGGCCGGTAGAGCAGGTAGACCTTGGGCTCGGAGCCCTCGGGGAAGACGTGGGGGTTGGTGGTGCCGCCCTCGCCGCGGTCCATGTACTCCACCTGGATGGCCACACTCAGGGCCTGTGCCAGCGCGATCACGTGGATGTGGTCACTCTCCTTGCACATGGGCTCCACCTCCTGCGGCACAGGGGCGCGGTGGGCGGGTCAGGACTGGGCTTCCCCTCCCTGTGCCCAGACCCAAGACAGGGGAGGGTCCCAGGCCGGGGGGCGGTGGACAGGGGTCCAGGGCTGGGGGCAGTGGTCCCAGGCAGGGGGCGGTGGACGGGGGTCCCAGGCCAGGGGGTGGTGGACGGGGGTCCAGGGCTGGGGGCAGTGGTCCCAGGTAGGGGGCGGTGGGCGGGGGTCCCAGGCCGGGGGGGTGGTGGACGGGAGCCGCACCTGCTGGCAGAACTCCTTGACAGTCCGCCCCCCCTCAATGAAGTGCTCGAAGAACTGGCTCTCGCGCTGCAGGTAGCCCGAGGTGAGCAGCCGCAGGTAGACCACGAGGTAGTCCGAGGTGCTCTGGTCGTTGAAGGAGGCCAGCAAGTCAGCCACCGAGGTCTGCTTCTCCACTTGCTCGATCAGGTCCATGAACTGCAGCCGTGGGCAGACAAGGGGCCGGTGAGGGGCCCTTCCTAAGCCGGCCCTCCCCACGCGGCGGGCGGTTCAAGATGCCCTCGTGGCTCACCGTGTTGTGGAAATCCTCGATTGTGAACTCGGTGAAGCCCTGGGACACCAGGTCCTCTTTGCTCTTGGCGGACACGGCTTTGAACCTGCAGGCAGAGGGACAAGGCGGCCAGCACAGGCCCTAGACTAGCAGCTGGGGACTGTGATGGTGCCTGTTCCCCAGCCCCGGGCAGGAAGAAGCTCCAAGCAGAACCCAGGTCCCGGGCAAGGCCCTGCCCGCCTCCCTCAGTGCCCAGGTGCCCACCCTCCTCACCGCTGCAATTCCTTGCTGTCATCCAGCAGCGCCTCCAAGTGGGAAAATCCGAAAGCGCGGTAGAAGCAGTTCCCGTCAGGCCTCGTCTTCCGGATGTAGGAATACTTTTTGTGAAGGTCCTGTGGAGGGACAGCCCCGCCCCTGACCATCAACATTGGCCCAGAACCAGGGCTGGCCCGACCAGGGTCCCCACATGGCAGCCACCTGCTGTCCCAGCTCTGCCCTCGCCCAAGCTGCTGAGGTCACAAGGGGAGTTATCTCACCAGATCCCCCATAGCCTCAGGAGGCTGCGCACATGCGCACATGCAGCCCGGTTGCATGGGTCCCTGAAGCACCCAAGGCATGCCCTGCACTTGGCCTACAGGGCTGTGCGAGCTAATGTCTCCTTTACCATGTGGCTTCTCCACGTTTCAACCGGAGGCAATGTCAGGGCAGGGGGCACAGTGCCAGGCTCACATGCTGGCCAGACACCTGTGGCCCCCACGGCCCAGCCCCTGGCCAGGTCCACTCCCCTTCCTCCCTTTTCCCGCAGGCAATGACCTGGAGTCCTCTCGCCCAGGGAACTCCCTCAGCCCCACCAGCAGGGGCTGCCCCCCTCGGCTGTGTGCCCTCTGTCCCTCCCCTGGACCCCAGGACTCAAGGACCCATCCCAGCAGGCACCCCTCCTGCTGCTAGAAACCTACAGCTCCTCCTTGGTGCAGGCCCCTCCCCCCTGTGGCAGCCCACAGCTGTCCTCGCACCACAGACACCCCTGCCACCATACCCACTCCCTGCCAGCTCTCCAGTCAGGTGGCTGCCTGTTGACTCCAGGCAGATCCTTTGAAAGCCCTCTGTCTGTCCATGCATTAAGGGTGGGGTGCCACCAGACCACAAGGCCCCTTCCTCTTGACACACCCCCACACAGGCCTGGTTACAGCATACAGGCCGGGAGGTGTCAGGCCCATGCAGCTTTTGGTTGCCAAGCCATGTGGCTCCTGTGCCTAAGTAAATCTTGATTCCCACTGTCCCGAGAGTAAATCCACACCTTCCGGCACCCCAGTGCCAGCTCTCACCCAGCTGCCTCCATCCAGTGCAAGCTGCAGCACTGGCAGGCCTTGGGCTACCGTCACACCCTCCTGCCCGTCATGACCCACTAAACACCCAAGAATTTGCAGAGCGACTCAGGGACAGGAGCTGGAGCCCACCCTGGCACCTTCGCCAGAGACCAGTGTGGTTGGTAACTGCAGCTGGGCCCCCAGCCCTAACGCATCACGTCCCAAGCCCCCGCATTGTCACCCGCACCCCTCGGGCAGTCCTGTGCGGTGTAGAACACCGCGTTCAGAGACAGCCAACAGCGGAGGCTCTGCCAGGTCTGGTGATAGAGCAACTGTTTGCACCCAGGAGGCTGGCTCCATGTCCGGAGTGCAATTCTGTGACTGCAGGCATGAGCTGGGTCCTCCACTGGGTCAGGCTTCTTTTGGAGCAATGCAGCCAGTGCCAAGAGAGTGGCTGCTGCAGACACCCGCCCCAGCCTGATGCTTCCACTCTGGCCACTGCACCCGGCCTCCCTCCGGGCCGGCCCCCAGCTCTCCTCCAGGGGGAAGAGCTGAGCAGCCCCGATTTCCCCAAGGCAGGAGAACAAGCCTCCACCCCGGGCCTATCTAGCCCATTACCCACACATGCAGTCACACTGGGACCATGAGCAGTGAGGCAGCCCGCCTCGGCTGAAGTTGATACGGCAGGTCCTCCTGCCCGCAGCCACCCGCACCACAGGCACAGAGATCCGGGCGCAGGCTGAGACGACCATTCCCCAGGCTCCTGCCCGCCCCTGGTCCGACCAACCAGGGCGAGCCTGGCCATGCTGGCACCTGTCTAGATGCACAGGCCCACCAGCAGCAGCTCCCTCAGGCTCACAGGCAAACCACCACGGGCAGACGCCAGGCACTCCCACACAAGGACACAGGACTGGCCATGGATGCACCTGCCGAGGTGCTGTGGCTCGTGGTCTCTGAACTCAGAGCCCACCCCCAGGCCTGGCAAGCAGCAGGCCCGTCGCCCCCGCCCTGACGTATGCCCACCTTGATCTTCTGTTGGTAGACATTGTCGTCCTCGGCGTACTCCTTGTACAGGACAGAGAGCTCCAGGCGCTCGGACACCAGCGGATTCTGCACAGCGATCTGTGGGAGGCGGCAGGCAGTGGGGTGGTGTGACCCACCTCGGCCAGCACACCCAGCCACACCGTGACCCGCGGGCCTCCAGGACCTGGCTTCACCAGCCAGGCCCGGCCCCCTCCTGCCCCATGCTCACCTCTTGCTGAATCCGGTCCTGCTGCGCCATGATGGCTTCATCGTAGGCCAGACAGTTGACACCTGCAGGAAGAGGAAGGGCCGGCTGAGCGGGGTCCGGGCCGCCTCCACAGCAAGCAGGCAGGCAGGCAGCGGGGCGAGAAGGCAGGCTTGGCATCTGGGCGCCGCCTCCGCCTGCACCGCGCCCAAGCTGGCAAAGTCCTTGCCCTCCTGGGCATCCCGCGGGAGCCGGTGGCGGCCAGGCCCTTGGGAAGACAGGAGGCGCCCGGGCGCTCCCTCCGCCCACGCCAGCCATCGGTAATGGGCTCATTGGACAAAGAACAAATCCAGGCAGGGCGGTGAAGTCACTCCGGCAAGTAAGAACCTGCGGTCAAGGCCGCTGGCTCCGCCTCCTGCCCGGGGACCCCAGCGCCTCAACCCGGGCAGCACCTCAGCCAGCAGCTTCCCCTATGTCTGGGACCCCAGGGTTCGGCCGGGGCCGGGGGCAGCACACCCTCTGTCCTGGAACCCAGCGGCTCAGCCGGGGCTGGGGGCGAAGTGCCCTCCAACGCTGCAGCAGCAGCGCGTGGGGCCGGCGGGCTCCACTGTCTGCACGACCCCCAAGGGGGGCCTCAGGACACCTGCGTTCCAACCCCGGCTCCCTCTTCAGTTTAGTGACCCTTGCACATCGCAGCGCGGGGTCCTGGCCTTCGCAGCTCCCGGCCCGGGGTGCGGTGCAGGACTCGGGGGTCGGGAGGGGGTGTCCCTCGCCGGCTCGGAGGAGGAGCAAGGGCGGAGCCGACTTGGAGGGCTCCCCACCTGCTCCAGGAGAGGGGGCTTCTCAGCACACAATGGGCGGGCGGGGAGAGGGTCCAGGCACGGCGGCGCCGCCCCGCACACCCGCAAACGGCCGCCGCGGCCCTGCAGGGCCCGCAGCTCAGCCGGACTCGACGCCGACGCCGCGGGCGGCTCGGGCCGGGCCGGGCCTGGACCGGGGCCCCGGGGCCGCCTCAGGCCCCGCGCCGGGCGCGCGCCGCGGGCAGAGGGGCCACCTCGGCCGGCCCGCCCGGCCCCGGGGGTCGCGGCGGGAGCGCCTTCCATTGTGAGGGGGAAGGGAGGCGAGGAGGGCAGCGGCCGGCCGCGCGGCTCGCCCCCGCCGGCCCGCCCGCCCGCCTCGAGTACCGGTGGGCCTGGCCTCGCCCCCGCGAGCCCGGGACGGACATCGCCCCCACGGCCAGTACCTTCCGAGTCGCTGCCCAGCGCCTCCTGCTTCTGCTGCTGAGGTTCCTCCGCCGCCATCTTTAAACAGCGCCGCACTGCCGACCGCTTCCGGGTTACCCCTTGCCCTCGTCCCGGAAGCGGGCCCCTCCTAGGCAACGTCCCTAGCAACGGGCTCCCCTCCGGCGTTGGCATGAGCTGGGCACCGGGGCCGCGGGCAGCGCGGGGCGGAGACCTCCTGCCCGCACCTCCGCTTGGCGTGGCCAGAGCTTCCTCGAACCAGTTCAGTTTTCCCTGGAGTTGGAAGTGCGGGCTGCTACTGAGCTAAGTAGGGAAATGTAATTAAATGACTGCAGCTGGAGCTGGGGCAGCGGCGCTGGGGCCACTGGGTGACGGCTGTCATCCCCTGCCTCCACCTAGCCCGGGGCCCTGCGCAGGCCATATTTAAGAGACAAAAAGGAAACCATTGAAAGGCAGAGTCACAGAGAGGAGAGACAGAGATCTTTCACGCCCCAAATGGCCATCACAGCAGGAGCTGGACTGGTCCAAAGCAGGAGCCAGCAGCTTTTCCCACGTGGCTAAAGGGCCCAAGGATTCGGGCATCCTCTGCTACTTCTCCAGGTGCGTTAGCAGGGAGCTGGACCAGGAGCAGGGCAGCTGCTGCCCACATGGGATGGCCAACACTGCAGGCGGGGCTTAACCTATTCTGCCCCAGCACTGGTCCTGTAAATGACCTTTTTAAAATATATATGTATATATATTTATTTTTATTGGAAAGGCAGATATGGAAAGACAAGGAGAAAGAGAGAGAAAGATCTTCCATCTGCTAGTTCACTTCCCAAGTGGTCACAACAGCCGGAACCAAGCTAATCTAAAGCCAGGAGCCAGAGCCTTTTCCAGGTCTCCCACGCAGGTGCAGGGTCCCAAGGCTTTGGGCTGTCCCCCACTGCTTTCCCAGGCCACAAGCAGAGAGCTGGATGGGAAACAGGGGCTGCCAGGACACGAACAACTGCACATATGAGATTCTGGCATATGCAAAACAACTTTTAGCCACTAGGCTACCACACCAGGCCCAATTGACTAGGTTTTTATGTGTTGTTTATTTGAAAGACTGGGTAACAGAAATCTTCCATCTGCTGTTGATTCTGTAAGTGGTGCAGACAGCCAGATGCACACCCAGCCAGAGGCCCTGTGGGTGGCAGGCCCCTCTCAGCTGTCTCCTCAGGCAGCTGGATCAAAAATAGCTGGAACTCACCTGACTATGGGACCAGCGTCCCTGGCGCGCATGGAGGTTGTGCAAGGAAGCCCTTGGGAGATGGCGGCTTTGGGGGACGTCAGGCCCAGCACAGGTACCCAGTGCGTTCTCACTGCCCGGCCATCTCCTGTGCCCCCAGTGAGGTGGTGAGTCAGAGCCGAGGGGTGGGCTGCAGCCCTGGCTGCTTCTCGACCCCAGGAGACCAAAGGCCCACCCCATCTGGACCGTTTGTATGGTGACATTGTAGCATCTGCCCGCCTGGCAGGCTGGAGCCGGGGCTGGCAGACGGACCTGAACCTCTGTGCCTGAGGTCCTGTAACCGGGGGTACTCTGCACAGCACCCCCCTCCCAGGCCCACCCTTTTGGAGACAGATGGCAAGGAAGTGGCCAGCAGGAAGCTTCCACTCTCATCCAGCCCCCAGGATGGTCTGCTTTGGGCTAGCTCTTTTTCCTTTTCCTTTTTTTTTTTTTTTTAAGATTTATTATTTCAAATGCAGAGTTACACAGAGGAAAGATCTTCCATCCACTGGTTCATTCCCCAGATAGCCATAATGGCTGGAGCTGAGTCGATCTGAAGCCGGGAACCTGGAGCCTCTTCTGGGTCTCCCATGTGGGTGCAGGGTGCCAGGCACTTGAGGCATCTGCTGCTGCTTTCCCAGGTGCATTAGCGGGGAGCTGGATGGAGTTGGAGCAGCCGGGGTGGGAACGGTGGTGTCCGTATGGGATGCAGCAACAGCCTAGCTCTGTCCAGGGGCGACTTAGCCGGGGGTTAGCAGCAAGCCACCGACCCCGGACCAAGGGTGCTGTTATTTCTGCTGTCTTGGGATTCTGCTTCTCCATTATGAACCTCTCCAACCTGCCTGGAGGGCAGCCCAGCCATAGGGCTACCCCAGAGAGGCCCCCAGGCCCGTGGAGCCCTGCTGGGATCCTGGCTACTCTGTATCTAACCCAGCTTCCTGCTACAAATGTTTCCAGAAAACCTAGGGGGAGGACCATGCGCCCACTCCATTAGGGGAGTGACCCAGCAGATAGAAAGAAAGTGCTTCTTTCTGCCTTTCACATAAGGACCTCTTTAAAAAGAAATAAACCACGCCTGTGAGTATTTGCCCCCAGACCCTGGCACAGCCCAGTTTGTCTCCGCCACCTCAGTCACCTGCTGCTGGCTCTGGCTGCCAAGGGCCTGGAACAAAATAGCACAGGTGCCAGGCCTTGGGCTGCCTGTGGGAGAGTCACCAGGGAGAACCCAGGGAGACCGCAGCAGCCACAGGGTAACGTGGACCAGATACATCCTCCTGCTGGACTGAGGTGAATACATGGAGAGGACAGGAAGAGACTCCACACAGGGTCCCAGTGACCATGAAGCCTCAGTCCTGGAGGAGGAGGGCTTGCAGACCACCCAACAGCTTCCAGGGGACCCAGGAGACAAAGACGAGGCCTGGGACAGCACAGTCCCCACAGGCTGCCACGGCCAGAAGAAAGCCGCAGAGGGGCAGCCACTGTGGTCCACAGGCTGCCTGGGTGGTTGCTGAGGCTGTGGAAGCTGAGCAGATCCGCACTTCCGGGCCATCGGCTGGGTTGCCATGGTCACCTGCAGGATTCATGCCACTTAAAGGAAGAGAGGGGCAGAGCAGGGTCCCATGTGGCCTGGGGCAAACCCCAGCTCCACACCGGCCCACCAGCTCTCACGGCTGGCCTGTCCCTCAGTGTCTACTCAGAGTCCAATGCAGCAGGCTGTCACACTCCATCCCCTCTGCGACGGACAGGCAGCACAGAAGTCATCGGGAAGCCACCTCCTTCCCACGGGCCCCGAGGGATGGGCAGGGCCCGGGGACCGCAGCACTTGTGCCCTCGCCCTCTTGTACCCAGGGCTCTTGGCCTGGGACCCCCTCCCCCTTTCCCTCCCGCCCTCCGGGAAGACTCCCTGTCAAGGTCCTCAGCCTCATTCACGACAGCCAAGTCCCTGTGCTGGGGACAAGATGTTCCCCAGGAAGACCAGGGTCCTTGCTCTTCCTGCTGCCACACCGCGAACACCAATGATCAGTGCCACACTTGCCCAGGTCACAGCACTACCCGGCACCTGACTCCCATCCTCCACAGCCCGGTGTGCTGCTCCCACGCAGAGCGCCCACGGCCCCTCATGCTCCACTTCGCCCCGTCCCACTACACGACCTGGCAGCCTGTGGAGCCCAGGGGGCTGAGGAGGGCTGGCCAAGGCCCCTAAAACAGGGCACCCCACTTGAGACTGTGGGGCTGCAGTAGTGCTCCCAGAAGAGGGCAATCACCCATGCCCTTTTGAGTTCCTGGGGTTAAAAAAAAAAAACGAAAATAAAAGGCATGGTGGCTCAACAGGCTAACCCTACACCTGCCAATGCAAGTATCCCATATGGACACCAGTTCATAGCCCGGCTTTTCCACTTCCCATTCAGCTCTCTGCTTGTGACCTGGAAAAGCAGCAGAGGATGGCCCAAAGCCTTGGGACCCTGCACCTGTGTGGGAGACCAGGAAGAAGCTCCAGGCTCCAAGCTTAGGACCAGAAAAGAGCCTTGGAGCCGACATAAAAGCAGCCAGGTACTACAAGATGCCTCACCCCACTGCCAGGGTCTGGTGGGGCTCAGGGAGGGCTGGTCCTGCAGATAAAGGATTGCCAGGTGCTAGGAGGCAGCGACGTGCCCCAGGCCAGGTATTCTCCACCCCCCAGCCCCGCAGCTACCCCCACCCCAAGTGTACAGACAGGGCTGGCCAGAGGCACGGGTTCAGTTGACTTTATTGTGAAGTGGGCTGCAGGAAGCAGGGCCCACCCAGACAGGTGGCCCCAGGAGGTCAGGAAAAGCTGACTGGAATTGAAGGACATGATCCAGGACAGGCCTGGCTGGAATTGAAAGACATGATTGAAGAGAGGCCCCAGGCCAGGCCAGGAGTGCAGGAGTGCTGGTCCATCAGGTGGGGCGGGGTGAGGCCAGTGGGGGGGGTCACTGGGGCCCTTGGACACAGCTCAGCTGGGAATGCAGGGACGGGTGTGGTCGCTGGCCGGCCAAGGCCACAGCCCCCTTCACTCCCGCTTCTTGTAGCTGTCCAGGTGCGAGAGGATCCAGCCGGAGGGCAGGAGGAAACACAGGATACAGGAGGTGAGCCCGACGGCCATGTCCTACACAGTACAGAGAGGGGACCCCGAGTGAGGACTCTCCTGGGCAAGACTCATGGGGAGGGGGGCGCAGATCGTGCAGCACGTCCACCACAACGGGGAAGGGACACAGCAGGTCCAAGGGCCGCGCTGAGCCCCGCGGTGCAGCACAGGGGTGAGATCTAGGGAGACGCTTCTCCGGCCCCCAGATCAGGTGGAGGGGAGGCAGCCCTGCACCTGCTGGGCATCGGAGTGGGCCTCCCCGCCTCCCCTCCGCTCCTGGACGAACAGGCACGGAGGCAGAAGACTCCTCACAGCCCTGCCGCCTCCGGCTAGCGGTGCCCATCACCGGCCTCGAGGCCCGAGGCCCCCTTGGTGCCTTCAGGGGGGCACCACGTCGCCCCTGAGGGGCAGCAAGCACCTCGCGGTCACGCAGGCAGGTGGAAAGCTAACTGCAACACCCCAGAGGCCCGTGGGGTCCTCCTGTCCCCGCCCGAGCATTCACAGCGCGGGCACCCTGCAGGATCGCGGATGGCCGGTGCAGGGCGGAAGCTCCTCACCATGGTCCCGAGCTGCTCCCGCGGAGGCGTGGAGTGGACCTGCGCGCGCGGCACCGGGAGCCGCCGGGCCGGGCCCGTGAGGCCCCTCAGCAGCAGCGGCGTGAAGACCGACATAGCTGACAGAGAGGGGAGCCCCACGCCAAGGTCAGGAAGCCAAGATGGCAGCGCGCCGGAAGTTCCGAAGCTGCGGAGGACGGAAAGTTCCCGGAAATGACGACACGATTTACCTCCCAGGGAGGTTTCTGGCGCGTCCCCCGAAACAGCCAATCCATGCCTTCCGACCACCGGCGGGCGGAGCGTGGAGGGGCGGTCCTTTTGTTGATGACACGCTTCCTGATTTGCCTAGTTACGTGAGCGACATCGAAGGTACCCAATCACATCGAAGAGAAGGCTACCTGTTTCACTCTTGACTCCTCCCTCCATTCATTCTAAGTCTAGACGTGTGTCCTCCAGGTTTTCATCCATTGATTCCCCTCTTCTGACCTATAGTTAACTTTCCCCCAATTGGGCCATGCTGAAGCCAGAAACTCCACCTTGGTCTCCCAGGTGAGAGGCAGAGGCTTGAGGACTTGGGAACGGGATTGGAAGTGGAGCAGCTGGGACTTGAACCTGAACTTTCCAAATGTGATGCCTTTGTCTCAAATAGTCTCTTAACATGCTGTGCCACACCGCCAGCCCCCATCTCTCTTTTCTTTGTTTTTCTTTTTTAAGATTTATTCTACTTTTATTGGAAAGGCAGATATACAGAGAGGAGGAGAGACAGAGAAGATGATGGTTCACTCTGCAAGCGGTCCCAACGGCTGGAGCTGAGCCTATCCAAAACCAGGAGCCAGGAGCCTCTTCCAGGTCTCCCACGTGGGTGCAGTGTCCCAAAGCCTTGGGCCGTGCTCAACTGCATTCCCAGGCCACAGGCAGGGAGCTGGATGAGAAGCAGGGTTAGAACCGGCACTCTTATGGGCTCCTGGAGTATTCAAGACAAGGACTTGAGCTGCTAGGGTATAGCACTGGGCTCCATCTCTTCTTTCTTAAAGGTCCTAGACTGTTCAGTGGCAGCCCTGCTTGCCCACATCCAACTGCCCTGCTTGTCCAACATCCAGAAGGTCCATTGCCTTCTGGTCCCCAGTCATCAAGCCGTTTACCCCTTTCCATTTTCTATTTTTCTAATTATTACTTATTCAAAAGGCAGTAGAGAGAGACACAGAGAAGTCTTCCTTCTGTTGCTTTAGTCCCCAAACGGCCACTCAGTAGAAGCTGGGCCAGGCCAAAATCAGGATAGTAATAAGGCCAGAGGCCTCGTCGAGGTCTCCCGTGTGGGAGCGGGGACTTGTGCCTTCGCCGGCTGTCGTTGGAGGTGAATGTGCAGGGCACTGGGTCTGAACGAAGCCGGCAGGTCTCAGACCAGAACTCAGCTGGCATGCTGCTGCAGGAGGCAGCACTTCTACCTCTTCATATCATGTTGTATCTGAAACACTTTTCAACTCTTGCCTACCCTTTTTCTTTTAAAGACTTACTTTATTTGAAAGGCATACTTGGGCCCAGCGCAGTAGCCTTGTGGCCTCACCTTGCACACACTGGGATGCCGTAGGGGGCACTGGTTCCTTTTCTCTTTATTTTGTTGATAATCTTTACATAGTTGATTCGGGCACAAAGGGTCACGGGCTAGTGGAAAGTGGGTGAGACCATTGTTATCACAGTCTCTTTTTTCCTTCTTGTATCTGGGGGGAGGGGAAAAGCCACACCCAACCTCCCCCCATCCCAGGGTCCCCGATATGGGGCCTGTTCCGAGGATCCTGCTCAAATGTTTTGATGGTTCAGCAGTTCTGAATCACTCCCAACCTCACCATTCCACGCACGATGAACTCTCTCCAGCATCCACTGGCTGACACAGTCCGCCTTAGAGTCTCCATTTGCTTAGGTTTTCACTGCCAACACGTGGCTGGGGCAGTTGATCGGTTTGTTCTGTCCTCCGTCCTCTGTTCTGGGACCAGGTGTCCTCTGCAGACTCCAATGTATCATTGTATCCTCCGTGTGCATCTGGATGTGCTGTCCACTGCTCCGTCTGAGCCACTGAAGAGGCTCAGCTCTGACAAGCGTTCACGGTTATACCAAGGACACTGCAACCTTCTCCATGGTTGAAGTTCTGAGTCCAGTGGTCCAGTTGGGGGATTCCCAAAGAAACCTCATCTGAGGCGATCCCAGACCTGATTCTTGTGTATGTGCTTGTCAGTACAGGGGCCGGCACAGACCATCACCCCTATCAGCTTGCCCGCATACTGGTGGTTGCGATTGCTGGATCAGTTCTGCCTCCAACACTGTCCTCTTCGCAAACCAATGGCTGTTGCAGCCCAACCCAGTCCCACCCACTGCATACTTGGCCACGTAAACCAGTTGGAACTCCAGCCTAGTTAGGGCGACTCCTAATAACCCCCACCAGGCCCGCCCCTTGCCCTGGTTCCCATACTTGCCAATATGTACAGCAGCCTGGTCCAGTCTAGCCCACGTCCCATTCACCTCTTGTACATATCAATGGGTATTGAAGCCTAGTTCACCCCAACCAGCCCCACTATCCAGCCCACATACGTGTGCCAATCAGTGCCAATCGGTGCCACTCTCTGCCTAGCCATGCCTGCCCCAGTCCTAGTTCTCATGCTCACCAGTCAGAGTGGCAACCCAAAAGGGAGTTGTCCACTGTTTCCCTACTGGGCCCACTCCCAGATTATGCACTATCCAGGTGGTTCTGCAGTTTAATCTGACAGAATGCCCCCCGTGCCAGCCTCTTCCAGATGATGCTGCAGCAAAGCCCAACCAATCCACACCCCACTCTGCTTATGCATATACCAGTAGGAACAGTCAACCCAGTCTGGCTGTCCCCTGATCCAGCTCACCTGAGGCCAACAGGTGTTGTGGTACTGCCCAGCCTAGTCTGCCCCCAATCCCAGCTCTTACACTCACCAGTGGTCCAGCAGGGGAGCCCCATGCAGCCCCCCTACCGTGTTCATGCCCTACTCCCGGTCTCGTGTGTGCTGGTTGGACGCTGCAGCCTGTTCTGGCATGGCCCACCTCACCTCAGCATTTACCAGTGTGTGTTGCAGCCTGGATGGGCCAGACACCACCACCAGTTTCAGCTCACACTGGTGGAGGCTACAGTCTAGCTCAGCCCAGCCCAGCCAGCTGCTAGTCCTGGCCCTAACATAAGTTGGCTGGTAATGGGGGGGGCCAGTTCTAACCCCAGCAGTCCTGCTTCCCATCCAGCTCCCTGCTTGTGGCCTGGGAAAGCAGTCGAGGACGGCACAAAGCCTTGGGACCCTGCACCCACATGGGAGACCTGGAAGAGGCTCCTGGTTTGGGATTGGCTAAGTTCCAGCTGTTGCAGCCACTTGGGGAGCGAATCCTCTTTGTACATCAGACTTTCCAATAAAAATTTAAAAATCTTAAAAAAAAATAAAAGGCAGAGTTACAGATATACAAGGAAAGAGAGAGAGAGAGATTCTATCTGCTGATTCACTCCCCAAATGTCAGCAACTGAAGCCAGGAGCTTCTTCTGGGTCTAGTATGTGGGTGCAGGGACCCAGACACTTGGGCCACTTTCTGTTGCTTTCCCAGTTACATCAGCCAGGACCTGGATCAGATGTGAACAGTTGGATATGAGCTGGACCCACACTGGATGCAGGCATTGCACCCCGAGCCAGCCCCTACCCTTCCTTTTTTTACCATGGTAACGCCTAACTGGCCTCCACCTAGTGATTCAATCTACTTGATCGAGCCAATAGTCCTTGGGGCTGGCATTGTGACACACGATGGAGTTCCTGACTCCTGGCCTCCGTCAGCAATGGAAGATGTCCCTCTATCTCTGTCAGCTCCTGTGTCTCCGTCTGGAGCACAGGGAGACCCAGAGGACGCTCTGGCTTCACATTAGCTCAGCTCTGGCAACTGGGGCCATTTGGGGGGATGAACCAGCAGACAGATCTTTCTTCTCTCTGTGTATCTGCCTTTCCAATAAAAATATATCAATCTTTAAAACAAAACAAAACAACCTCTAGTGTTTGGAGAGAAGACGGCAACAACAAACAAGCACGCTGCTCTGCCCATGGGCATCGGCATTCAAACGACGACATGCCAGGAGCCACCCGGCCTTAAAAACTGGGCAAGTTTGCTCCATCTTTACACATGTGGCATGAAACAGATACCGCTTTTTCAAATTTAAAAAATGCTTATTTATCTGAAAAGGAAAGTACCAAAGATCTTCCATCTGCTGGTTCACTACCCAAACGGCTGCGGGAGCCAGGGATTCCATCTGGGTCTCCCCCACGACAGCAAGGGCCCAAGCAAAACTGAGCATAAAACGACATCATCAAAACACTTCTTCAGTGCCAAGTCGGGAGCTGATGCTGGCTCGCAGGACCATGTCCTCGCCCCTCATCTCAGCCTGTTTTCATAGGGGAACCCAGTGAGGCGACATTGTCTCACTCCCATGGACCCTGAGGACCACCCTGCTGAACCACCTAGGGCCAAGCCTCCGTGGAACCTGCTCTTTTGGAATTTCGCCTTGTCAGCAGGCCCTTCGGCCTCAGCACAGCCTCCCCCGATGTCTGTCGGGAAGGGGACTGAGCTGACGGCCACCCAAGCCCTTGAGCCTTCACAGGCCACCTTCCTAGGCGCAGGAGCAGGAAGCTGGATCTGGAAAAGTCAGGAAGTCCCGTTTTGCAAATGAAGGCACCTGCAGCCAGCTTCCCATACTGTACAGATCTCATCTCCAGCCGCCACACAAGCTGCTGCAGAAAGGAGCTTTCCAGAAGGTTCCATATGCATGTCAACAGCCTCAAAGGCACCGCTGCTGCAGGGGTGAGGGGCCCGGGCTGCAGGAGGTCGAAGTCCTGGGGGGCGGGGGCCTGGTGGGCTGGACAGATAGTTGGGGACCCAGGGCACTGGGAGACTCCAAGCTGCCCAACAGGTTCTGGCAAAGAAGCCCAGCTTAGAGGCTTCTGGACGCTCCGCCCCCTCCCTAGGGGCCCAGGGCTGGGAGGCCAGGCAACAGCTGCCTGCCACTAGGAGGAAGGCGGGGACCTCCAGCTGCGCTCTCCGGCATTATCCGAGGTTTCAGAACAAAGGGGCGGCTCCCAGGTGGGCAAGCACAGCCAAGCCAGGGTCCTGGAGACCCGCAGGGCTGGCCGTGGGCTGCTCCCTTAGCTCTGCAGACGTTTGCCCTCTTGTGCCATGACTTGGAACCACGGGGTCGGAGGCGACATCCACTCTCAGCCCCTCCCTGGTGAGGGAGGACCACCCTGGTGAGCCAGAGAAAGAAAACACTGCCATCCATCTAGCGACAAGCTGCCGTGGCACCTGCTGCTTTGGGGATTTTGCCACGCTGGCAGGCCCTTTGTGTTCAGAGCAGCCTCACCCGGAGGGAAGTGTCAGGCAGTGGCGGCCCAGTGTGCTGGCCCAAGGAGGCCCAGCAGACTCAGAGTCTCCATTCATCTAGTAATAGAGAAACAGCCCTCCCATCAAGAGCCCTGGCACGGCCCAGCCAGCACCCCTTAAGCCAAGCTCCCAGTTCCTGTTGGCTCCCAACTCCAGTTGCCTGCTAGCACAGACCTGGGGTGGCTCAGGTGGGAGACCAGCCTGAGCTTCGGCTGGTGGGTGGCCAGTGAGTAGGCGTTCCCTTGGCCTTGCCAGTGATGCTTGCCCATACGTTTTGTTTTGTTAAAAAGCAGGAAATTAAAAGTAATACATAACTTGCAGCCTGAAAGGACACAGGCGTTCGGAACACTGCTGGTCTCGCCCGAGGTGGCGGGCGGAGAGGGTGTAGGGACCAGGTGTGAGGTGTTGCCTTCTGCACTGCCCAAGGCTCCCCTGGACACTCTCCTCTGTAGCATCTTCAAGGGGAAGGGGTGCTTGGTCCTGGCTGGGAGATGCACCACACAGGGTAGACAGGAACCTTGCTTTCGCTAACACCCAAGATAATCTGTGCTGCCCACCCTGGGGTCCCCATCACCCCCACTGCTGGGAGTCTCTCCTTCCAAGGCCGAGGTCTAAAGGCCCCAGCCTGCGCCCAGCTCTAAGCCCAGGGCCTGTGCTCCCCAACCCACAACGCCTTCCACTGGGGGCGATAGGCATGCAAGCTGGCACCAGGCCTACAGGCTGCATGTAAGCTGGAGCTGTACCTCGTGGCCCTGAGCTTGGCTCCCAATTCATGAAAAGCTCAGGCCCAACAGTGGTGCTGGACCAAGTTCAGACAGGGAGCTTGCGAGGCCCACGAAGGGGCTGGACTCCAGAGCTGTGGGACTAGCAGGTGGAAAGTCTCAGCCAGCTGCCCCAGGAGCCTCTGGCCTCGGCTCTGGGTGCCAGCCTTCCCACCCGGTCTGGGCTCACCCTGGCAAGCTTAGGGCAGGGGTGACTGGCTCTGAGGCTGGTTGGAGGATAAACTGAAGGGATTAGCTGGCAGACAAGGAGCCAGCTGGGTCTCCTGGGGCTCACAGGGGCTGGCAAGGCCCTCTCCTGATGCAGGGGACTCCTAGGAAGGGCCAAGGCCGAGGGGAGAGGGGTCCATGAAGCGGGCACAGGGAGACGATATGGGTGTGATCCCGACTTACTGGACAAGCTGGAGACTGCCCCTCCTACCTGGGCCTTAGCTTCCCCATCTGCAAAGTGGGTACGGCAACACAAAGGCCAGCAGGACACAGTAGGGACGGCTGGGCTCCCTGGGCTTGGAGAATGAAAGCCAGGGCAGGTGGGAGTGGAACGGGGGCAGGGCAGAGGCTGCGCTCCCAGAGGGCCATCTGTTCCTCTTGGGCACAGCTGCTGCCAGGCGCCAGAAGCACAGGGGGCGTCCTGTGTGCAGCTGTCCCTGGACAGGGGGAGGGGGTAGTGCCCCAGGGGGAACAGACTGAGGGCTGGGGCTGGCTGGGAGCCAGGCGGTGGTTAACCCCTTCCAGCCCATGTCCGTCCTCCTGTCCCCTGCTGCAGCACTGGCTCCAGTCTGGCCACGGGAGCTTTGGTGCTCTCGGTCATGGCTACGGCCTGCCCTTCCCCAGGTTCAATAGCTCCAGACCACTCTCCGGGGCCTCCTCCCTCAGGTGGGGAGGGCTGCACTTCGCACAGCTGTGGCGGGTGTGACCTTGGCCTGGGTGGGACCAGCCAGTCCTTCTTGCAGCAGTCACAGCAGCGCATGTGCACCTTGGTGTAGCCGGTGCAAGGCCCCAACACAGGTGCTCAGGCTCCCACAACCCCTGCTTGTCCGGGGTCATGGCTGCAGCAGAGGGACATGCCGGCCGTGTCAGGCTGGTCAGCTGCGGCTCCCAGGTCCCCGCCTCATCGTGTGCAGCACCAGGGACAGGGAGCATCCCAGCAAACACCAGCTACCAGAGTGGGCACACACCTCACAGTGCCAGCTCTGGCTGCTCCACTTCCCACCCAGCTTCCTGCAGGGGCACATGGCAACCCTTCCCTGGGGAATCCCATCCCTGTGGGAGAGCAGGTGCCCACCTTAGCAGCAGGGGAAGCGGGCTGCCTCGCAGGCCTGCCATGAGCTCTCTTCCTCTGAGCCAATCTTTTACTAGAAACAAAACACAGGCGGCTGGCGCCATGGCATAGCAAGTTAAACTTCAGCCTGTGGCACCAGCATCCCATATGGGTGCTGGTTCATGTCCTGGCTGCTCAACTTCTGATCCAGCTCCGTTAATGCCTGGGAAAGCGGTGAAGATGGCCCATGTGCCTGGGCCTCTGTACCCATGTGGGAGACCTGGAAGAAACTCTTGGCTCAGGCCGGGCTCAACTCTAGCGACTGTGGCCACCTGGGGAATGACCCAGCACGAGGAGCTCTCAGCCAGGAGAGGTCACCACGAGCTCTACCCAGGGGTCCAGGAAGCAGTGCTTGCACACCCGAGGTCTCCATGCACCCCTTGGCTGCCTGTCCAGCCGCCGTCATGCCCATAGGCTTCCGGGACTGCCAGCCAGGGGTCTCCAGCTAAGGGCTTCCTGGAGCCCACGCCGCCTGTGGTGCTCTGGCATGGAAGCCACCCAGCAGCTGAGCAAAGTGTCTTTTATTTGTGACAGATACAGGGGTTACTGTTCCCCTTGGATTCCAGTGGTAACAAAACATTAAAGAAAATATCCAGGAGGACTCTGCCTTCCAAGAGTTTTCTAGAAAAATCAGAAAGGGTGTATATATATATATATTAAAAAAAAAAAAAAAAAACCACATTCAACACAAACAGAATAACCTGAAATAGGGTGGACAGAACTAAAACAATACCTGAAAGGATTCAACACGTCTCCCAACAAAGCACTGCGCCCCACAACCAGACCTGAAGCGCTGCGGCATCCCTCAGAACCCAGGTCAGAAGCAGAGAAGGGTGCGTGAGCCATCTGCAGAGCCACAGCAGAGGGACCCCCGCCCCCTTCCCTGCTGCCAAGGACTGGGCTGCAGAGGCTGGAGGGGCAGAGCGAGGGCCTAGCAACGGGTGCTAGACGTCCAGTGACCGACACACACCACGTGTGGAATTTACACTGGGGGCTCCTGTCCGCCCCCGGGAGTGGGAGGTATCAGAAACCCATGATCTGAGACAATAAATATTATTTCTATCCTTTGGGACGGCAGTCAGAGGTCAACCTCTTACCACGCTCTGTCCTCTTGGGACCGTTGGGGAGCCCGTCCGCCCCCTTGATGGCTCTGGCAGGCACACTTGGGGACAGGCCCTGGGAGCCAGCAGGCTGGGCACGGGTGGCCCGGCCTCCCCAAGGGAAGCTGTGAGGCCCTGGCCTGCAGCATCCAACCCCACGGTGCTCAGGGGTGCCAGGCCCCGCCCGGGCACTAATCCAGGGTAGGGAAGTCAGGGCAGAGGTGAGGTGTAACTTGGACCCACAGGACACCTGCAGTGCCCCCAGCCCCGATCCCACAGCAGACAGGCCAAGGGGAGGTGCTGGAACTTCTCCCTGGACAAGGATCAATGCCTGGGTGGGGAAACGAGGGGGAATGAGAAGGCGGGATGGGGTGAAGAAGGGGTGTACTCCAGGCTAGCACCCGGCTCCGGCTGCCACACAGGGACTCCAGGGAGCCAGGGGCACCCATCGTGGTCCTGGACCTGAGCTGTGACCGGCGGGGATGTGGGCACGGCACTAGTGCCTGAGGCAGCAAGGGGCAAAGCTGGGGGGTGCACAGACAGGTGGCCTGCTGCTGGCTGGGGGCTCCCGAGGAACAAGTGCAGGGGTGGGGGAGGCACATCACATCCCCTAGAGCTGTCAGCACCAAAAGATGGGAGAGGGCATCACCCACACAGGAGTGAGGGGCTTTTCCGGGGGAAGAGGAGGGCTCCCTGATGCTGCTTCCCCTGAGACTAAGATCAGAGGTATGTGGAGTGGGAGCGGGAGGGGCAGAGTACGCAGAGCTGACAGCAGCTAAGCACCCCGAACCCCACACCCCACCCTCACTTGCTGCTGGCTCCCAGGGCCTCTCACCCAGCAGCAGAGGGGAGAGGTGACTTCCTCCTGCAGCCAGCCGGCTGGGCAGGAGCGTCCCGTGTGCCCATCCTCTAGGCTGAGCCGGCTCCCTTTGAGGGTCAGTGAGCTGGGTGTCTGCGTGTCACCATGGAGAGCCCAGTCTCGGGGCGGTAGCCCAGATCTGAGCCGCGCCGTTCCAGGGCCCCAGCTCTCCTGCCCACGGCGTCCTGCTCTTCTTGGGGAGGGAGAGGTGGTTGGGGTCACTTCTCCCCAGGTTCTGTGCTCTTGGGGAGCCAGCTGGCCTGGGAGGACTGAGGCTGAAGCTCGGCAGGCACCTGGCAAACAGCGTGGGAGCGGGGAGAGGACGGGCCCTAGGAGAGATCGCTCCGGCCCGCGGGTGGCCCTCAGGACTCAGTGGCAGCAGCCTCCACAGTGCCCTCCTGGGTGGGAGTGCTGGCTGTCCCCAAACTTGGTCCTCCGGCTGAGGATCTCATAGGAGCAGTCTTCCCCGCAGCAACCGGACATGCTAGGGGAGGAGTCATCGATCTCAAACCTGCAGCAGGAGAAGGAGTGGGCTGCAGACAGCCGGAGGCCTCCCACCCGACTCCCGGGCTCCCCAGGCCCAGCAGCACAGCACGGTGGCGGCCGCCCACTCCCTGGCCCCAGCTCCGCTCCTTACTGCATGGCTTCCCTGAAGAACTGATAGGCGCCGTGGTTGTGCTTAAACACCGTCAGCATCACCTTCTTCATCTGTGTGCTGAGGGCAGAGCAAGCACCTCACAGGTGACCCTCCTGCGTCTCCCCGGGAGCCACCCCCCAGGTTCTCCCGCTCCCCCTGCAGCCCTGGTAAAGGGGCACAGATGAGCACTGTGCAGTGTAGAACATGCCCAGCACGGAGCTGCAGAGTCCTCTGCCAAGGAGGCACGGCGGGCAGCAGATGCCAAGTGAGTCCAGGGCCTACCCTGCCAGCAGGCGGCCCTCACCTGTTGGCCAGGAGCTGCAGGATCTGGAGGAGGAACTTGCCCAGGCCTTTCCGCCGCACCTTGCTCTCCAACTGCACTTCGTAGCTGCGGGAGCAAGCAGCCCAGTGAGCCGACAGGGAGGGCTGCGTGCCACCAGGCAGGGTGTCCCAGTGCCTACCAGTACAGGACTTCATCCCCGCACTCGACATCAAACCGGAAGTGAGAAAAGGCAACGGGGACCGAGTCGTTTTCCCAAGCGATGAGGTACCAGGCTCGGTCATCCGTCATCTCCTCCCGCTTCTCCCGGTCCTTCCAGCCCCACTCGCTGTGCTCATACCTGGGGAGGTGGGGGCAGTCAGGCGGGTGGGGTCCAGGCTGCAGAGGCAGCTAGGGGCGCAGTGCCCGGGGCACGCTTACATGGTCTGCATGTTGGTTTTGGTCAGGTCGAAGGCCCAGTCCACGGTGGCTGGCTCTAGCCCAGACACTCGCTTGCACTCGATGGAGACATTCAAGCTGTGAGGACAAGAGGCACTCAGAAACGGGGCGGCGTGGTGCCCACCGGGTACACATTAGCTGTGGGAAGAGCCAGGCCCACACCTAACGAGAGAAGGGGCCTGGCAGGGAGGAAGGCATGCAGGCGCCCACCAGCCCAGCCAAAAGGCCAGGGGTGCACACCGACTAAGCCCAATGCCTGCTCCCTGCCGGATCCCTCTCCTTCGTACTGGCTCCCAAACATTCCTGGCCAACAGCTTTGCCCCCACGCGCCTCTCCTGCTCCACTGGGCCTTTCCCCTCTACCTACAGCCAGGCTCTGCCAGGCGGCTGGGCTCCAGGCGCCCACATCCATGCCCCATTGTGCTAACATAAACCCAAACTACCTTGGTCTAACAGCAGCTAGGCAGGGGCTCAGGAGGGTAATACGGCTGACACGCGCCCCTTCCGAGCACATGCGCTCCCACGGGACCATGAGCACCCCACTCTACAGGAGGCCCTGGTGCAAGGATGGGGGATTCTCGTTTCCTGCAAAGTCGATGGAACAAGCTCAAAAGAAATCCAGTTCACAAACAGAGAACATGTTTTCAGAAAGGACAAAACAGGCTGGCCAGCACTGCAGCGCTTCTGCCTGTGGTGCCAGCAGCCCATATGGGCACCAGTTCATGCCCTGGCTGCTCCATTTCCTTTCCAACTCCCTGCTTGTGGCCTGGGAAAGCAGCAGAGGATGGTCCAAAGCCTTGGGACCCTGTACCCATGTGGGGGGTGCAGAAGAAGCTCCTGGCTCCTGGCTTAGGATCAGCTCAGCTCTGGTCATTGAGAGGTGATTCAACAGATAGAAAATAGCATATTTGCTCTCTCCCAAGCTCTGCCTTCTAAGTAATAAAATAATCTCAAACAACAACAACAACAAAAACAACACTTCAACTGGTGCCCGTAGGGATACGGGGTTACAGGATTAAGCTGTTAAACCGCCATACTGGCCCTTAACAAACAAAAAACAAATGAACAAGAAAAGCTTGGTCTTCAGGCACAGGTCTGTCACTAATCTGAGTTCACAGCACGTGGGAGAGGGACCACAGCTGGCAGCAGACCCAGCCAGAGGGCAAGGGCAGCCAGGTGGCCAGACTACTGGCTCTGCCTCGAGGGCAAAGCTGGGAAAGAAGCAGGGCCAAGAGCCGGGCCAAGAGCCGGCATTCCAGGGCGGGACACAGCCATTCCAAGCACCAGCCCGACATGCTGTGACAGAAAACCTGCCCGACTTCCTCGCCTCTTTCAGAAGCTACTCTAGTTAGCCACTGTCGTCCGTTCTAACCATAAGAAAAGGAGGTTTGGGAGCAAGAGTCATTCCGGGAGAGCTAACAAGAGGCCCGGCTACAACTGAATCCACAGCAGATACTGTTCCCCCCGAAGCCCAGCACGCCACGCTGTCGCAGTGTGTTCAGAAACCCAGCCCACAGCTGCGACAAGTTCACGGCAATGCCGTACACGCAGGGAGAGCGCACAGGACAGTCTGGATGGCCCGGCCCAGCAGCGGACACGCCAGCACCTCGGGAACCTTGCTCATGCACACGACGGGGCAACCCTGGCAGTGCTGTCCCGGGAGATGAGTGCCACCCTTGGGCATGTCCCTAGCGGGAGGCTCTGTGACCACAAGGAGAGGAAGGCTGTTCCACCGCTAGGGGAGCCAGGTCGGTCTGCGACTCACCCATTGCGGTCATATTTCTTGAACACCGGAAAGGCTTCCAGGGGGTCTCCAAGCTGGGGAGGGAAGGCGAGGAGTAGCAGACATGTGGCGGGGGGGACCCCCAAGGGGGTGGGCTCCTGGCCCTGCGAGCAGCCTGCACAGAGCCCAGAAGGCTCTGGACCGGAGGCATCAGTCGAATGGTCTGTGGGCAGGACACCTGCTCCCAGCACAGAGACGGACAGGGGCCCCGTGGCCTGCCTCACACCACCAAGAGCCCCGCCTCACTTGCCCTTGTCAAATACTGCCCGTAGCAGGGCAGGCACAGAGCCATACCCTCCCACATGCACAGTGTCTTCCATGAGCCAGCTACAGGAATGACAAACATGGGACAGGATGGCCAGGGAGGGTGAGCCATGACTGCCAGGCTGCTCCAAGACCCACAGGTGACCCACAGCTGCTTGTGGTGACCATGGCCCCTTGAGGACCAGGGCAGTGGGTGAAGGAAAAGCACGAGAAAGCCATACAGCACACTTTATCACGGGGCCTTCCTCCCACACGCAGGGTCGCAGTGAAAACTACTCCAGACCCTCTTGGCAGCAGCTCCTCCCCTAAGGGTCCCCGCTGCCCAGGTCCTCCCAGCTGGCTGTCCCAGCAGGAGCAGAAGCATGGGGGGAGAGTACCACAGTCCTGCCACAGGGTGGCGCCAGAGGCAGCTGAATGAAACCCCAGGCAGGTTCGGGAGGCGGGGGCTGGGCGGGAGGAAGTCACCCTGTTGGCCGCGTCCACTTTGGCACACACAGCGTCCATGGCCGCTCGCTCCTCCAGCCGCTTCTGCTTCTTCTCCTTCGCTTTGCTCGACTTTCTCTGCAATAAGGAAAAGCAAGCTGTGGCCGACCAAAGACTTGACTTTGAGGAAGTGCAGGGGAAGAGGCCCAACTCAGCAGGTCCTGCCACTTCCCTGCAGGGAGCCCTGCTCTTCAAGGAGCTGGACTAGCCGCCAGACTCCTGGTCCCTGGGAGGACCAGCATGAGTCTGCAGCATGGCCGGTCCCTGCAGGGTCCAGGAAATTCCCACCAGCCCCCACGCAGTCAGGGTGGCCTTCTCGGCCAGCATCTTCTGCTGTCTCGAAGGGAGCTGGGCAGTGTTTGGGCTGAATATGCCGAGCCAGTCCCCAAAGCCACAGCATATTCAGGCAAGGGAGCAGAGCCAAGGTCCTGGGGGTTCAGCCCAGGACGTGCGTGCTGCCCAAGGCCAGGGTGCACGCAGATCAGCTCCTGCACTGAGGCTAACACGATCCTCACAGGGCCAGAAGAAGCACTTCTCACCTTGTAAAAACAGGGTGACGCATGGAGCAGGGCTAGGCGCTGGGCTCCGACTGACCCGCTCCAAGCCTGCCCCTGCTTGTCGCTCTAGCGCTGACAGGCTAACAGGAAGGGCCAACACTACCACACATGCGTCACGGCTCCCCCAAACCTCGGCGGGTCTGTCTTCAGAGCTGTGCGGGGTGCCAGGCCTTGCTTGGACCTCCAGGCCTGCACCCCACTGTGAAGGCCTCTGGCCTGTGGACTCCAGCCCTTGAGCTTTGCAGGGAAGGCCTGGGTCCTCAAAGGCCTCCCCTGCAAGCGAGGGTGCTCCTGGTGACACACTCCTGCCGGCGGTCCCCCGAGGCGGGCTGAGGCGCCCACACACAATCACCTCCTACCGCTGCACAGAGGCCCTAGGGGCTCCAGGAGAGCTACCCTAGTTACTCCAGGGCAGCAAGCTCACAGGGCCCCCAGGAGGCTCACGGTGGCCCCGGAGCTCCCGCAAGGGGCCTCGGAGCGGCAGGGAGCTGGGGGGCAGCTGGGCTACAGTCTCAGGTCCTGCCCTGAGCCACTGGCCGCTGGCCTGGGACTGCAGGAAGTCACTTTCTCCCTCCTCTGCCAACCCCTTGGCCTCCTCACTCACAAAATGAGGGTGACAGCAACAGACCCTGGACTCTGGGGGGACAAACTGCTATGCTCTCCTGTGCATGAAGTACGCGAGGTGCAGATGTCCAACACGCGATCCTGCACAGGCAGCTGGGCCGAGTCCCAGTTCTGCCACCGCTTCGAGCTGCCTGCCAGCACGCCTCCTGGGAGACAGCAGGGATGCCAGCTCAAGCGCTTGAGGCCCTGCCTCACATGAGACCAGGATGGAGCTCCGTCTGGGCTGCTGGCTCTGGCCCTGCCCAGTCACCATGGACATCTGATGAGTGAACCACAAGACCGAAGCTCTTTCTGTCTCTCTGCCAAACTTGTTTTAAAAGATTTATTTTATGGGTTCTGCACGATAATGTAGTGGTTTTAAGTTCCTTGCCCTGCACGCCCAGGATCCCATATGGTCGCTGGTTCTAATCCTGGCGGCCCTGCTTCCCATCCAGCTCCCTGCCTATGGCCTGGGAAAGCAGACGAGGACGGCCCAATGCTTTGGGACCCTGCACCCTTGCAGGAGACCTGGAGGAGGTTCCTGGTTCCTGGCTTTGGATCAGCGCAGCCATGGCTGTTGTGCTCACCTGGGGAGTGAATCATCGGACGAAAGATCTTCCTCTCTATCTCTTCTCTCTGTATATCTGACTTTGTAATGAAAATAAAAATAAATCTCTCGGGTCCGGTGCGGTGGCACAAGTGGTTAAGTCCTCGCCTTGCACGCCCAGGATCCCATATGGGCGCTGGTTCTAATCCTGGTGGCCCCGCTTCCCTTCCAGCTCCCTGCTTGTGGCCCAGGAAAGCAGTCGAGGACGGCCCAAAGCTTTGGGACCCTGCACCCGCGTGGGAGACCCAGAAGAGGCTCCTGGCTTCGGATCGGCATAGCATCGGCCATTGTGCTCACTTGGGGAGTGAATCATCGGATGGAAGACCTTCCTCTCTGTCTCTCCTCTCTGTATATCTGCCTTTCCAATAAAAAAAATAATAACAAAAATAAATCTTTTAAAAAAAATAAATCTTTAAAAAAAAAGAAAGGCAGATATACAGAGAGGAGGAGAGACGGAGAGGAAGATTTTCCATCCGATAATTCACTCCCCAAGTGACCACAACGGCCGGTGCTGTGCCAATCTGAAGCCAGGAACCAGGAACTTCTTCCAGGGCCCACACAGGTGCAGGGTCCAAATACTTTGAGCCGTCCTCAACTGCTTTCCCAGGCCATAAGCAGGGAGCTGGATAGGAAGTGGAGCTGCTGGGATTAGAACCAGTGACCATATGGGATCCCAGCGTGTTCAAGGCGAGGACTTTAGCCGCTAGGCCACGCCGCTAGGCCCTATATCTGCCTTTCAATAAAAATAAATAAATCTTAAAGAAAAAAATATAAGATTTTTTTTTTATTGCAAAATCAGATATACAGAGAGGAGGAGAGATGGAGAGGAAGATCTTCCATCCATTGGTTCACTCCCCAAGTGACCGCATGGCTGGAGCTGAGCCAAACCGAAGCCAGAATCCAGGAACTTGCGCCCATATGGGATCCTGTCACACTCAAAGCGAGGACTTTAGCCGCTAGGCCACAGCACCAGACCCTCTGCCAAATTTTAAATAAAGGAAAACAACCCCCTCTTTGCAGTGCTGATCTGGGTACAGGGAGTCACATGCACATTATAGGACCCCTAATCTGTTTCCATCCTTGTTTTTCTTTTTTTAAGGATTTATTTTATTTTTATTGGAAAGTCAGATAGATATACAGAGAGGAGGAGAGACAGAGAGGAAGATCTTCCGTCCGATGATTCACTCCCCAAATGAGCGCAACAGCCGATGCTATGCCGATCCGAAGGCAGGAGCCTCTTCCGGGTCTCCCACCACAGGTGCAGGGTCCCAAAGCTCTGGGCCATCCTCGACTGCTTTCCCAGGCCACAGGCAGGGAGCTGGATGGGAAGCAGGGCCGCCGGGATTAGAACCGGCGCCCATATGGGATCCTGGGCGTGCAAGGCGAGGACTGCGCCACCGCACTGGGCCCCTGTTTCCATCCTTGTGACCCAGCGAGGCACGTGCACCCAATTCCCCGGAGAGAAATCTGAGCAGACACAGCAGGGTCCCAGGGACACAGGGTGCAGGCAGAGTTCTCAGAGGCCGCCTGCTCCCACGCCTCCATCCCACCCACCTGCCACCTGACCACACGTCTACGCCCCACTGCCACCTGCCTGCTACACCAACCTTCTCACACGTCCACCTGCCCGCCTGCCCACTGTGTCTACCTGCCCACTACACCCACCTGCCCTTCACACCCACCTGCCTGCCCACACGCTATAGCCACTCTCTCCATGTCTGCCTGCCCACTGTGTCTACCTGCCCGCTACACCCACCTGCCCTTCACACCCACCTGCCTGCCCACACGCTATAGCCACTCTCTCCATGTCCGCCTGCCCACCCACTGCATATACCTGCTCTCCCTGTCTACCTGCCCATCTATCTGCCAAGTTCAGCTGCCCACTCACGCGCCACATTCACCTGCCTGCCATGTTCACTTGTGTGCCCAGTGCTGGCAAACAGCAGGGACAAACCCGGGTCCACTCTGTCCATTCCACTGTGACTCCCCTTACAACTCCTGTCACAGGAAACACGACAGGGATGCCCTCTGCAGCTTGGGCTTGCCCCTCATGGATGCGTCAAAGTTTTGGGGCTGCCAGGGGCCACTGAGAAAAGGGAAGAAATGGCTCAAAGGGGCAGGAGGGACCGTTCATGTCCCGGCTCCACTTCCCATCCAGCTCCCTGCTTGTGGCCTGGGAAAGCAGTTGAGGATGGCCCAAAGCCTTGGGACCCTGCACCTGCATGGGAGACCCAGCAGAAGCTCCTGGCTCCTGGCTTCAGATCAGCTCAGCTCCGGCTGTTGCAGCCATTTGAGTACACCAGCAAATAGATCTTTCTGTCTCTCCTCTTTGTAAGTTGCCTTTTTTTTTTTATTATGAAGACTTATCTTTTCATTACAAATTTAGATATACAGAGAAGAGGAGAGTCAGAAAGATCTTCCATTCCCAAATTCACTCCCCAAGCGACTGCAACGGCCGGTGCTGTGCCGATCCGAAGCCAGGAGTCAGAAACTTCCTCCAGGTTTCCCACACAGGTACAGGGTCCCAAAGCTTTGGGCCACCATCAACTGCCCTCTCAGGCCACAGGCAGGGAGCTGGACGGGAAGTGGGGCTGCCAGGATTAGAACCGGTGCCCACTGTAAAAAATTAAAACATTTCCCACATCCATGCCTCCACCCTTCACAGCATCCAGAGGCCCAAATGAACCTGGTTTTTGTGAAAACAGACGGTAATCCACATCCTAACCTGACACATGCTACTTTCTCAGAGTACACACTTGACTCAACGCACAGCCCCCACGAGGCAACGGGGTGCCAGGCCCCCGCAGGAGGTGCTGTATTTGAAGCTGCTCTCTCTCAGGCACTGGGTGACATGCAGAGCAGGGACCCCGCCAAGGGTGGTCCTGCGCTCAGGCCCATCTGACCTGGATGTCCGTGGTGCCAGTCTGGCTCTTGGCTGCCAGTCGTGCATGAGCAGAAGTGACACAAGGCCGGTCTGCGATGCCATGGGCAGGTCTGAGGGCAAGATGGGGACTCAAAGGACGAGAATTGCGCAACTCTGAGCCTGCTAATTCAGCTCGGCCAGCAAGCGTACAACAGTGCGGCCAGAGGTGCCTGGCTTTTATTCAGGGCACAGTGACCAACACCAGCTGGCCACGCAGGCAAGCAGCAGCTGGGTGTGGGGAGATGGGCTTCTCCCTGTGAGGTTTACGGCACCCCAATCCCTGGTCCAACATGGTGATTTCTTCATTTTCCTCCAGGTCATTGGTTCACCCCCCCAAATGCCCACCAGGGTCGGGCCAGGTCCGAGCCAGCTGCTAAGACTGCCATCCCAGCCTCCCTACGCGGGCACCGGAAGCCATCACCACTGTCCCCCAGGGTCAGCATCAGCGGGGAAGCCAGCGCCAGCAGCACCGCCCCCCCGGACCTGCCAGCTCAGTGCCCACATCCCAGTGTCTGTTGTGACAGGGGTCAAGTATCCACTATGTTCATTTGCTCAGTCAACAGATACTTGAAGTGCAGTGAAAGAAAAATCTGGGTTAGTAACAGCAGGGACAAGTCCAGCGGGTTAAAAATAGCGCCCTTCTATTTCAGAGGTCTGAAAGACAGGCTGCACTCCAGGCCAAAATGACAGCAGCCACCTGCCTCCCTTCGCCCCTCACCTCATCCACTCCTCTGCCCCCCAGGGCTGAGCTTGGCACCCCCAGCCCCAGGCCCCCTCCCTTGGTCCAAAGTCCAGCCTCCCTAGGACGTGCCCCTTACAGATACACACGGATCAAGCTCCTGACGGCAAGGGACAGGCCCCTCTGACCTGAGGTGACCCACAGGCACATGCCAACCACTCTGCCCAACCGTTTATCAGCACGTGCCAGAGAAGGGCACCCGCGGGGTAAGGAGGGTGCTCCCCTATCTTCTCCCTTGCAAAGCCACCTGCAGGATAAGAACCACGAACAACCCCGAATCCCTCCCAGGGATCCCCCAGCCATGGCTGTGGCCAAGGATGCCCGTAGCCACCCCCCCCGTAGCAGGAACGGGGTGGGGGACAGGAGGCTCTTAGTCCAGGATGGTTCAGGGGGGACCCCGGCGACCTTGGCCGACTGCCTCCTTATCTCGGGGCGTCCACAGCTGGCCTGGCTGGGAGGGGACAGGTGACCAGGGCAGGAATGGAGGCGACAACCTCCATGCCCGCAAGGGGAGGCCGGTAACGGGCCAACAAGCCGGTCGCTATGATGGGGGCTCCCCGGGGGGGGCACTCATGGGCTAAGGCCAAAGTGGAGCTCCTTAGAAAGGGGGAGTCGGGTCATGTGGGGGGCTGCGGGTCACGTGAAGCAGAGGGGGTCAGGGTCACGTGAGAGGGGGTGTTCAAGGAACAATGGGGCGGAAGGGGGTGAGGGTAGCGAGGGGTACCCCCAGACCCGCCGTCTGTTCTCTCAGCCGCACTCACCCCCATGGCGGCGGCGGCGGCGGCCCTCGGCCCCTCCTTCACACACTCTCTCCGGCAGGGAGGAGGCAACGGCGGCTCCGGCTCAGGCGGCGGCGGCGGCGAGCGCGGGGCTAGGGGCCCGGGCACGCGCATGCGCCTCGCGGGCTCCCCAGCGAGCCCCGGCGGGCACCGCGCCGGCGCAGAAAGGGGGACGGGGGCGGCGAGCGCGACACGGCGCGCAGGTGGACCGCCCGAGGGCCCGCAAGAGGCGCCAGGCGCCGGGCAGCGTCGCGCAGGCAATGACGTAGGCGGCCACGCCCCCTCGCCGCGGCGTCATGGAGCTATGGCAACGGCCGGGAGCCGGTCGACCGGCTTGGGCGGCGGGGAGAATGGCAGCGTCTTCCTGGCTCGGAGCCGCCGGACAGAAGTCGCAGACGACCCCGGCTCTGAAATACCAGCCCCTTCGGGGACACAGCGGAGGCTTGGGAAGCGGTCGCATCTTCCAGATCTCGGCTCCGCAAGTGCCTTTGCTCCCCGGAGTCCTGTTACTTCTCCATGTTCCCACCTTCCAGGCCCTCTCCATTCATTCTCTGCCCGCCCCCCGTGCGGGGCTGAACCCCGAGACGCGTCGCCGCCTCCAGAAACGTGAGCGTTTGTTCAGAGGGAGGCGGCTCGGTGACAACTGAGAACTAATAGCGCTGTTTAAAACAAGTGAGTCCTCCAGGGGACTCGCGCCACATTCCTGTTGATCTTTACCCTAAGCAGAGCCTCCACGTGACCTGCCCTGGAGTCACCTGGGGAGGCGGTGCAGTGTGCAACCCCCCTCCCCGGATCTCCCAGAAGACCTCCCCAGGTGGCAGGTGCTCAGCTCTTGGCATTGGTACGTGCTGGCTCCCAGGATGCACAGAAAGTCAGAGCGACACTGGGACTTGAGTCAAGGCACTGTCCCAAGCGGTGCGTGACAGGTCAAACGCCCTCCCCCAATCTCCCACAAGGAAAGTTAGAGAAAACCCTGGCACAGCAGGGCCCTGCCCTTTGCCGGGTTATGCTCGTCATCCCATCTTTAGCACTAATACCGTGGGGGCTTCGGCTGTGGCTTCGGCAGCAGTCTGCAGGGCCAAGGCCATGGAATGCACCATGGCAAGGCCGAGGACAAGGAGTGGATGGATCCCCATCACCAAACAGGGCTGCCTGGTGAAGGACACGAAGATCAAGTCCCTGGAGGAGATCTACCTGTACTCGCTGCCCATCAAGCAGTCTGAGCTCATCGACTTCTTCCTGGGTGCGTCCCTCAAGGACGAGGTGCTGGAGATTCGGCTGGTGTGGAAGCAGACGAAGGTCGGCAGGCTTCAGGGCCTTCGTCGCCATCGGGCACTACAATGGCCACGCAGGCCTGGGCGTCAAGTGCTCCAAGGAGGTGGCCGTGGCCATCCGGGTGCCGTCATCCTGGCTGAGCTGTCCATCCTGCCGATGTACCGAGGCTACTGGGGAGAACAAGATCAACAAGCTCTCCATGGTGCCATGCAAGGTGACAGGGCATGCAGCTTGGTGCTGGTAAGTGGTACCCCCAGTGCCCAGGAAGCTGCTCTTGATGGCTGGCTTTGGCCACAGGAAAGGGGACAGAGAAGGTGAAAGGGCTGAGCTAGGAGCAGCTGGCTGGCTTCTGTGGATTAGACACCCTGTGGGGCGGGGCAAGGACAAAGGAAGGGCGGAACAGAGGCCACTGCACTCAGAGAGGCTTCAGCACCAGGGGAGAGGCGTGGCCGTGGGAAGGCGTGGTCACGGGAAAGGTGTGGCCGCGGGAGGGTGTGGTCAAGGGAGAGGCGTGGCCGCAGAAGGGCGTGGTCGTGGGAGAGGTGTGGCCCTGGGGGAGGCGTGGCTGTGGAAGAGGTGTGGCCATGAGAGAGGTGTGGCCGCGGAAGGGCATGATGGTGGGAGGGCGTGGCTGTGGAAGGGTGTGGTCATGGGAAGGGTGTGGCCATGGGAGGGAGTGATAGTGGGATGGCATGGCTGTGGGAGAGGCGTGGCCCTGGGAGGGCGTGGTCACGGGAGAGGTGACCCACTGGAGGGCGTGGCCACGGGAGAGGTGTGGCCTGTGGGGGCGTGTTCGGGGAGAGGCGGGGCTGTGGGAGGGCGTGGCTGGGAGAGGTTTCCCTGCTGTGAATCCCACTGCAGGCAGAGGCAGCAGTACTGACCAAGCAGACGTGGAGTGGGAGGGGAGGAGAGTCAGGACACTGTCGGTCCAGGTGTAAACTGGGACCCCGAAACATCTCAGGTGGCTTCTGAGGAAGGAGCAGGATTGGGAGAATGGGGAATTCTACTGTGGCCAGGTCAAGTTGCTTTCTGAACGCCAAGTGCTTGCACTGGAGCTGTGCTGGAAGTCGCCCTGGGGAGGGAACAGCAGATGATTGGCCACCTGTCCTACTCAGAAATCAGCAAAGCAGCCTGTCATGCCATGGGCTGGAGAGCGAGGTAAGAGCAGCAGAGATGGCAGCTGGGGTGGGCAGCAGGCCCCTAAGAGCCTGCTTTTCCAGCAGGGAAGCAGGGTTTAAGGAGAAAGAAGGTAGCGTGAGGGGATGGGCAAGGTAGGGTGTGGGGCTGGGCTCAACCCTAGTCCCAGCACACCTGACCCTGGCATGACTTGCTCATCTACTGGCCACCACTGAGCCTACCACTCCCATGGGCCCCAGGCTGCTGGGCGGTCCTGACCCTCAGGGCAATGAACTAGCAGGTGGAAGATCTCTTTCTCCCTTTATGTTATCTTCTTTTCAGTCAATAAGCTCTTAAAAAGATAAGCGGGTTGAGTACGATAGCTTAAGCACTAAAGTCCTCACCTTGCATGTACTGGGATCCCATATGGGCACCAGTCCTAATCCCTGCTTCCCATGCATCTCTCTGGTAATGACATTGGAAAGCAGGCCCAAAGCCTTGGGACCCTGATCCCACGTGGGAGACCCAGAAGCTCTAACTCCTGGCTTCGGACTGATTGAGCTCCAGCCGTTGCCACCATTTGGGGAGTGAACCAGCAGATCATTCTCTTTCTCTGCAACTCTGTGTTTCTAACAAAAAATACACCCTAAATTTAAAAATTCTACCTCCTGTAACATTTTTGGCCGGTGTTATTTATTTGAAAGGCAGAATAATATGTGTATGTGAGAGAGATCTTCCAGTCACTGAATCACACTGAATACCCACATGAGCCAGGTTTAGGGCCAGGCTGAAGCCAGGAGCCCAGAGCTCCATCCAGGTCTCCCCCGTGGATGGTAGGAATCCAGGTGCTTGGGCCGCACACCTGCCTCCCAGGTGCTTCAGCAGTAAGCTGAATGGGGAGTGGGATGGGGCTTTCCCCAGGCCCCCTGGGATGGGGGGTCAGGTAACACCACCACGCCCCTTAATGGGAACCTGCTGGAATGGCTCTTCCATCCACCCTCCCCCATCCCCACCAGGCACCTGCCCCAACTGAGGCTTCTGGTCCCACTGGCTTCCTAACCCCTCTTCCTCTCTTCCCTGGAACACGCTCCCCTCAGCCACCAAGCTCCCAGCCACTAAGCTTGCACTGTTTGGCTCAGCCAGATATAGAGCTGCAGTGGGCTTCGCAGACTGGCTGGAGAGCCACTCCAACCCCTGAGGGGCATTGGGGGGGGGGGCAGGAGGAGCCACAGCTGGCACATGGCAGGCCCCTGGCTCCCCAGAAGACACCATCCTCCCGCCATCTGCCCCACTCCACTGCAGGCGACCTTCCCCCACTCACATGGCTGGCCCCTCAGGGTCCCTCCCTCCCTGCCTCAAGGCTGCCCTCACTGCCTCCTGCCTATTCTCAGACGTTTCTAGAAAGAACTTTCCCAGTCTGTGTCTACTCCTGTATGTCCCTGTCAGTCACCAGCAGAGCCCATAGCATGGACTCTGCCCTGCCCCCTAACTGGCCCTCCCAGGCCCCCGGCCAGTCTGCCCAGCTCCGACCCTACTCCTGTGTCCCAGGCTTATCTTTCCAGCTGCATCTGGCCCTGTCTCCACTGTCACTTCTGAAAAGCGCATTCCTGTCCTTGGCCTCTGGGTCTCCAATACCCTTGTCTCTCCCTCCCTGCCTGCCTTCCTTCTTTCCTTCTTTCCTTCCTTCCTCTCTTCTTTCTCTTTTTTTCCAGATCTATTTTTTTTTCAAGATTTTATTATTTTATTGGAAAGGCAGATATACAGAGAGGAAGATCTTCCATCCCCAGATTCACTCCCCAAGTGGTCACAATGGCTGGAGCTGAGGCAGGAGCTTCTTCCAGGTCTCCCATGCGGGTGCAGGGTCCCAAAGCTTTGGGCCGTCCTCGACTGCTTTCCCAGGCCACAAGCAGGGAGCTGGATGGGAAGTGGAGCAGCCGGGATTAGAACCGGCACCCACATGGGATCCTGGTGCGTTCAAGGTGAGGACTTTAACCATTATGCTATCGCGTGGGGCCCAAGACTATTTATTTTCTTATTTTTAAAGGATTTATTTTTATTATTTTTATTGGAAAGGCGGATATACAGAGAGGAGAGACAGAGAGGAAGATCTTCCGTCCCATAATTTACTCCCCAGGCAGCCACAACAGCTGGAGCTGAGCCAATCCGAAGCCAGGAGCCTCTTCTGGGTCTTCCATGAGGGTGCAGGGTCCCAAAGCTCTGGGCTGTCCTTGACTGCCTCCCCAGGCCACAGGCAGGGAGCTGGATGGGAAGCAGGGCTGCCAGGATAAGAACCGTCACCCATATGGGATCCCAGGCGTGCAAGGCAAGGACCTTAACCACTGTGCCATCGCGCTGGGCCCAAGATCTATTTATTTTTATTGGAAAGGCAGATGTACAGAGAGAAGGAGAGAAAGAAAGATCTGCCACATCCAGTGGTTCACTCCCCAAATTGCCACAATCGCCAGAGCTGAGCCTATCTGAAGCCAGGATCCAGGAACTTCCCCTGGGTGTCCCATATGGCTGCAGGGTCCCAAGGCTTTGGGCCATTCCCTGCTGCTTTCCCAGGTCACAAGCAGGGAGCTGGATGGGAAGTGGAGCATCTGGGACATGAACCCGTGTGGGATGGCAGCAGCACAGGGCATTGCCCTCAACTTTTTAAAATGCCCATCAGATTGGGCCAAT